CCTGCACTTCCACATTGACCACTCATCAACTGTTCATTGACCACACTTCCACATTCCTGCACTTTACATACCCATGCACTTGTTCCCACACTCTGTGTACTTTCAGGTCTTTAGTATTATCGGCCATTCTCAGTAGCAATTCCCTTTAGGGTCGAACATTCTTGCTTGCAAGTGTAGCAGCTAGGCAGAGCATTGACCTACAACAATATTTTTGGTTAGGCACTTTATCAAGTGTTTAGCCATTGTTGTGTTTGCACAATGGCATCTTTCTTGGTTAAATCTATCAAAGGTCGTGCAAGATTGGAGTAGTGGGAGATGAAGTGGTGATAGAGGTTGCAGAATCCAAGGAATGATTGGACTTCTTTTACTGAAGTCAGAGTAGTCCATTGACTAATGCCAGATAATTTGGCTGGATCCATCACAACTTGTCCAGGGCAAATAATCGTTCCAAGATACAGTGGCTCAAAAAACTGTCCGCATGTTTTGACATTTTTCACTATCTATGATATTGTGTGAGAATGAACAAATGCCTCAAGGACATGCTTATACCACATTGTAGTATGGCTTCAGGGCTTTCATTTGAGCCATACACCGTGGGAATCGGTAGAGATATGGTGGAGATACAAGACTCACAAAATGGTGACTCATGCGGACAGTTTTTTGACTCAAGTATTTTACAATAATAACCAGGTATTCTAGTATTTTGTATGACCTCCCTTGGCTTTAATTACTGCCTCTATCCTTCTAGGCATACTCTCAATTAATTTCTGGCAATCCTCAGCTGTGATCTTCCCCCATTCCACTGCTACTCTCTCCCAAAGCTCCCATACTCCTTTAGGGGGGGTTTCATAGGCTTGAAGCTTTTTCTTGAGTGTTCCCCAGAGATGTTCAATGACATTGACATCAGGAGACTGTGCTGGCCAGTCAAGAACATTGATGTTATGTTCTTCAAACCATTCCTTAGCTCTTCTGGATGTGTGCTTGGGATCATTATCCTGTTGGAAAATGATATCTTCTTCATCAATCCCTGATTCTGCCAAGCTAGGCAGCAAGTGGTCATTTAAAATGTCCATATACTGCTCAGCATTCATCTTCCCCTCAACCTTAGCAAGCATTCCCACACCATTCCATCCCATACAGCCCCATACCATTAAAGAACCTCCTCCAAACTTGACAGTCCCATTAACCTCTCTGTCTGTTAGGCCGTCTCCCTTCTTTTTCCATACATATACCTTCCCATCTGACCCAATCCTATTGATTTTGGTCTCATCTGACCATATAACATGCTTCCAGTCCTCTACAGTCCAGTGTTGATGAGCTAAGGCAAAGGCTAGTCTTCTCTGCCTATGTTTGATGAAGAGAAGAGGCTTTTTCTTCTTTGTTACTGCCTCGAGATGAGCTGCCTTGAGAACATTCCTCACAGTTTGTGAAGAGATAGGGGTAGTGATGGTGGAATTGATATAATGGGTGGCTTGGACAGCATTATCAGCCTTTCCTGTAGTGATATGTTGGATAATAGCCCTTTTGTCAGTAGAGGTAAGCTTAGATGGATGTCCTCCACAAGAGTTTTCCTTGTCTGGGTGGCTTTCTTTGATAAACTTGGCCACAGTGGACTTGCATACTCCAGTTCTAGAGGAAATTTGGCAAGCAGAGAGGCCAGCATAAGACAGAGAGAGGATATTATCTCTTTGAGCAGAGGAGATGGCTTTCATGGTGATTATGACTATGATACATGAGATATTCTGGTTTATATAGTTAGATATAGTCATAAAATAACATAATGACACCACTTCATAATTTATATAATAGTGGCATGATTTTTGTGGTGTCATAAATAGTGATTTATATAGTTTTAATATACACTCAAAAACCTGTCCATATGAGTCATCATTTTATAAGCCTTATGTCTCCACCATATCTCCACCGATTCCCACGGTGTAGGGCTCAAATGAAAGCCCTGAAGCCATACTACAATGTGGTATAAGCATGTCCTTGAGGCATTTGTTCATTCTCACACAATATCATAGATAGTGAAAAATGTCAAAACATGTGGACAGTTTTTTGAGCCACTGTAATCAACTTCTTGGGCATCAAAGGTGCATTTTTTGGGTTTCAGGAAGAGGGTTTCTTTTCAGATAATATCGAGGATATAGTGTGTTCATTTCTGGTGGTCTTCTAGGGTTTTTGAGAAAATGAGGATGTCATCCATATAAATGATCATCCATCCTTTGGTAATTTCTTTCTGGAAGGTCTGATTCATATAGGCTTGGAACATTGCAGGGGAGTTGCATAAGCTGAAGAACATGACTTTCAGTTTGAAGAGACCAAAGGAAGTGGTGAACACTGCTTTCCAGCAATCATCAGGGTGGATCAGGATATTATTATATCCAGATCAGACATCCATCTTGGTGAAATACTTGGCATCTCTTAACTTGGCGATAAGAGGAGGGATCAAAGGAAGGGGATAAGTGTTCTTTATTGTCCATTCATTGATGTAACAATAGTCTTGACAGGGTCGTAGAGATCCATCTTTCTTCCCTATGAAGAATCTGCTGGCTTGCAGAGATTTTGAAGGTTGGATAAAGTCTTTAGCAATGTGTTCATCAAGGAAGGCTTTTACAGCATCAGTTTCTTTCAGGGATAAAGGGTAGGTTTTCATGGATTTTGGAATATATCCAGGTTTGGTTTCAATTTGATGATCAACACCTGGTTGAGATGGAAGAAGTTTGTTTAAGCCGTCTTTGGTGAAAACATCAGCAAAGTTGTGGAGGTAGTCAGGGATGAGTTCTTCAAAAGTTTTCTTCTTTTCTTGAGCATCTTTCAGAGTGAATTCTTGAGCTTTATTGCTAGTTTTCAAGTATTCTTTGTCTTCTTTGGTTTTTTGCACATAAATCCAGGAGTTTCTTAGGGGGGGATAGAGCTGCAGCTTGTCAGATCTCAGAGGCAGAGGTGCCATCACATGTGAGGGGTGTGTTGAAAGAGAGGTTTTCAAAAAGGTTATAGAAGAGCCATCTTTGGCATATTCTATCAATACCTTATCATCATTGATGGAATAAGTAACAGGGTCATCAACCTTTCAAAGGAAGGTTGGTTCAGTGGGGATGTCATCCCAGACATCATCTTTGGTGTCATATTGGGGTAGGGGATCTTCATTGGGATCTGGCCAAAGAGATGGAAGTGGTTCTTCTTCTTTCTTCTTTTCTTTTCGGTGTTCAAGGGTTCTTTTCCCATTTATGGGAAGTGGAGCATAGACAGGTTTAAATTGCTCTGGGTCTTCTTCTTCTTCGATTGTGACCTTTTCGTGAGGTGAAGGGATGAAGCCCCATTTCTTCTTGAATACTTCTTCTAGTCAAAGTGATCTAGGAGTAGAAGGAAGTTGGAGGGTGTCTTTAGCCCAATTGATATCAGGATTCATGGCAGAAAGCCAGGGTTTTCCAAGGAGGATCATATCATTGTCACTCATGTTCATGACATTGAATTTTCCAATTGTGAGTTGGTCATCGATTTTGATTGCAAGGTGACAGTAGTGGGTGATGGGGTCCTTGGAGATCTTTCCATCAGTTGTTCAGATAGGGAAGGGCATTTCAAAGTGGTGTATCTTGATTCTGTGTTTTCTTACAAACATCCAATGGATGAATGTGGCAGCTGCACTGCAGTCGACAACAGTGGTGGTTTGCAATGATTTATTGGGGTGTATGGAGGAAAAGATGGTTGCCAGGACCCTTAATTCTTTAGTTTTTCCTACATTGTGTGTGATATGTACATCAATACAAGGAGTGGCTAACATTGTGGTAGGCTCCTGGTTTAAAAATCCATTCTTCTGGCATTAAGATCTTCAATCTTGCTGGTGTCTTCTTCTTTAGGTGCTGTATGCCTTACCATTTGCTTTCCTTTATAGTTATTCTTTCTGGCATCTCTGTTCCAAGGATGGAATTCTTGGTCATTAGATCTGTGACCAACCTTTCTGCAAGAGAAACATTTTCCTTGCTTCATGTATTCCTTCTTTTCAACCTCAGAGAGGCGGTCGACTGTCCATAGCATTAGGGTCATTGTTTCTGGGAGTGAAATGTGGAGTAGATCACCAATTGTTGAATCAGGTGTTTCTGTTGTTGTTCTGGGGTATATGGGAAAGGAGAAGCTGATAGGAGTTCTCAATGGATATCACCTTCTTGACTATTCCGTCAAGGGTGTCAGGGATCTCTCCAGAGTTGCAGAGTTTCATGATGAGTGGCTATTTAAGACCTCAGAGGAAGTAATCTTTCTGAGCATTGAAGCTGTAGATCTCAGCTCAGTTACAGAGCTGTCGGAATGTGGCTATGTACTTGCTCAAGTCATTGCCTTGTTTAAGGGCATGGAGCTTATGAAGTGCAGTACCAGCTGAGTTGATTGGATTAAAGGTTTCTTCAAACTGGGAGACAAATTCATCCCAAGTTCTGTATCTGTTCTGTTCTCCAGTTGTGGATGTAGGGTCAGGTTGCTGAGCATGTTCAATAAAGTCTTCCATCCATGCTGCAGCTGTGCCTGCTTTCATAAATGAAAGAGCAAAGGCAATCTTTCTAATGTCAGTATCATAAATTTCTTCATTCATATCTAGATAAAGTGTGATGAGGCGAAGGAATCTTGCAGTTCCATCTCAATTTCCATTGAAGTCAGGTGGTGAGCAAATATTTCTTTTGATTGGTCTGGGCATGTCAAAGTACTCAGAAAGGAAGGTTCATGGGAAAACAGAGTATGAGTCAGAGATAAGAGAGACCATGAGGGAACAGCACAGTGAAAAGAAAGCATCAGAAGTACAGCCATAAGGTGTCCACAGTGATGATGGGAAAAAGAGTGGGGCACTGTAACATCTTCCATGGTTTGTAGATGGTCTCTCCAGCTGCTTGCTGAGCATGATTGCTGGTAATCCTGTCTGCAAGCTCTTCCTCAGTTAACTTCATCCATTTATAGGTCTCTTCAATGAGTGTGTTGATCAATAATTGTCCTGACTTGCATCCACCAATATGAGAGGGATTCTGAACTGGCAAAAGTTTGAAGGGCCAACCATTGAGCTCCACACCATGGTGTTCAACAATGGCATGCTCATAGTTAGTAGGGTTCATTTTCGCATGGTTGGCAGGTTTATTTTTGTGCAAGATAAAGTCTACATCAACATCAGCAACAATGAAAACTCCATGATAAAGATGGTGCTCACCAAGTTTGTCTTGTATGAGCATCCAACATTCACTGACCAGCTGGTTGATGGATTTTTTCTCCCTTGATATAGTTGGTACATATGTGCACCAGGACATTGGACTCACTGGCTATGGCATTTCACAATATATGTGATGGGACCTTGGCACTGCAGAGCCCCCCCAAGCAGAGAGTGCAGAGCTGCAGCTGCAAGCAGTTGTAAATGCAAGTTTGCCCCATTAAAATCATTCCTTTACTTATCTTCTTTTGATGGTAGGAACACCAGGCACCACTAGCACCAACATTGACCCAGGCTCCAAATGATGTCAAAGAGTCCTCCGACTCAGAGGACTTTCAGAACAATAATGGAAACCCTGTAGAGCTCACTAGAGCTGAGGTATTGTCCATCAAGGAGAGGGCCAAGTACAAATTACAGTGTGTCATGTTGCAGAAGGAGGGTGTTGCTCCAACACACAAGAAATGTGCCAGGACTGTCAAGAAGGCCCTGAGGGTTGGTAGGATTGCAGTAGTTGGACATGGTACATACTTCTGTTGGCCCATGTGCATGTCACTGACAATTATTTACTATAGTCAAATATAAACCATTCAAAACAAGGAAAGTCAAGGAAGAAATGGTTTCGTGGATGTCCAACACTCACCATTTATTCAAGGACTATGCCATACATAATATTCAGAAAGATTTGGGTTTGCATCTTCCAATTGAGCAGCAAGGTGCCAAGGTGCAGCATAAGAAAATGCTAGTGCTGACACTACTTGAAAGCCTCAACCCTTACACAAATTTAAATATGTATGTTTTTTCTTTAGGCTTCATACTCATACTTATTTAAACATACAGGACAACAGAGGCACACTAGTTTGTTATGTGTTTGAGGCAGACTGGTTCATGGATATGATCATCAATGTCATATACCTCAATGGCCTTCACCAACATGTTAACACAGAGAACTTTGACACTGTGTTCAGTCTCACTGGGGCTGTGGCATTCAATGCACTCAGTTGTTTCAAAAAAGGTATCTACAAGAACATTGATGCTTCCACAGAACAATTCTGTGACCTGTACAGCAGAATTGTCACAATGATAAAACTTATACAATGCAACAACACGAAAAAGGAGAGGCTCATGTGGTTATGCAACTTCATCATTGCATGTGGCTGAGAAATACTCAGGCTTCCTTAGTACTGACTACATAGTTAGATATTTACTGCCTTAATGTGTATTACCATGCATTTAAAAGTTGCTATCAGTTCTCAGTTATGATTTGATTGTAGGTCCTTTGAGCATCAAGGATATTTCAACAGACTTACAGTTATCAATCAGTACTTGAGATGTGAAATCAAAAAATAAAGTACTGTACTTTTACAACACTTTATAAAAGCCCTGTTATATTTTTCCTAGCAAGTAGTATATGTCAAAATTACATATCTGAAGTTTCAGCAAAAAATATACAACTGTTTGTGTATGCCATTCAAAACAGTCAGGGGACCTCTTTTTTGCCCATTATCGCTCCATGATACATGTGACTCATTAGCAAAATTGTTATCAGTTGCTCACTCCATCTTACCAGTGGTCTCCTCACATCAATATCGAGTCCATTGATAGTGTTAATGGTCCAGTCTACACCAAGCTCATTCCCCACAACATTATCATGCTAAATGACAAGTTTCGAATGGTAATGTATCTCAATATTCTTCAATTGACACTAATACTGATACAGTGCATGTACAAAGATTCTTGACTGTTGTCATGGACCTGCTGGCTGCCTCAACATGTTGGGTTTATGAGAGTAAGTGTCCATTAACTAGTCTTCATCACTGGCATCTGAAATGCCATCAAGATCAAAGCTTTCCCCACCACTAGATGCTGCATCCTTCTTGCATGCCACATTCAGTGCTGGCCTTGGAATAGGGCCATGCAACTTTCCCAAGACTGGTTTTGCCTCACTGAATTTCCGCCCCTCTGCCTTTGCCCTCAACTTATCCTCATTCCACTTCTCCAAAGCAGTGTGGTACTGTGCTCTTCAGTCCTTGTTCTCTGTCTTGTGTTCATCTTTGAGATGTTTCCACACTGCCAGTCCTTTGGCCCTCTTCTCATGTTCTTCTTTCCTCATCTTCTTCTCAGCAACACACTTTTTCTGCTTGTGTTCAAATTCAACAACTTTCTTGTAGAACTCATCACCAGAAAGGAAACACAGCAAACCATCACCCATCAACTTTTCTTTCTCCTTCCCTTTTTGCTTTTTTGCTTCCTGATTTGCAAGCTGTCCAAGAAGGACCTTACAATACCTCTCATTCAGGATATTCATGGCCTGAAGCTTGAGGACATGGTACTTTAGTGTGATATTGGTGGCTTCTGTTTCATGGAGCAATGCAAGCAGTAAAATCTCATTCAAGGTCTTTGGTTTGATGGCAAAAGGGTGTGTTTTTTTGATAGGGGAGATAAGGTGGGTAGTATTATGTTCCAGTCATGTCTCCAAAGTCAAGGGGACTGATGAGATGAGCCCTGACAATGAGGTCTCTTGTAGTTTTCCAATCAAGGACTCGATCTCAGATTGCATGGTTGTCACAGGTTGTTGAATACGTGTTGCTGCAGCTTCGGTGTTGTTGTCATTATCTCCATGGTTGTTGTGTTTCGTTGACAGCTTCCAAGAAGGTCTGCAATGATTCTCACAGGTGTTGATGGCATGATAGGAAGCTGACCCTCACATGATGTTTCCTTACTAGGGGCCATCATCTTATTAGTGATGACATCTCAGTTGAATGGTGAGATACCAGTCTTCCAAAATGCAGTGTGAATAAGGTCTGGTGTGAGTGCACAAAGGTGAGCCCATCCATAAATTGACAAGAAGTTACTTTTTGTAACACCTTCTCCTTTTTCCACTCCCATGTATCTCTTTCCTTGCTCCAGTATCTCTTCAAGACTGTGAAAACAACCACATCTAAACCCTGATAGACATGTGTTGCATGTGCAGGATAGCATATCACATGGATGTAATGGGCATGTGCATATTGGAGGAATCCTCTGGTATAGTGTGAATTGTGTCTGTCGATGATGAGGAGACAATCACAACCATCTACCTTGTCCTTGGTGCATTTATCGAAGTCTTGGATCCATGCTACACCAATCTCACCATCAGTCCAGCCTTTCTTTGAATATCCAAGGCCATCATCATCATCAGGTAAGGCTTACTCATTCATGCTGACAAGGACTACTCACGATGCATGTGCAGGATTATCTTGCTTCCACTTGACTTGGTATGCATTGCCTTTGAAGATGACTGCAGGAGAGCTTGATGTTCCATTGGTACATATTGTGATGATAACAGTCACATTTTCCTTGCTTCCAGTTCTTTGCTGATACTGTGGCCCAGGTTTATGGCTCCCGATGACTCATTCACCCTTGCCTGATTGTGGTGAGATCCCAATCTTATCAACTGCATGTATGCAATCCTCAGCAATGTCATATTGGTCCAGAACACCCTCCAAGAGATCAAACCATGCCTTGTTTGTGTTCTCATTGACTGTGCAACCATGTTTTGAGTCAAGCAGAGCTGACCATGATGTTTTCAAGTGTTTGGAGTGCTTTTCAGTGAAGCGGTGTGTCCAACACTTTCCAACCCTGGGGAAGTCATTACTGAGGCAAGCACAGCATATTTCATCAACATGTTCTTGAAGTCATCAGTGACTAAGTGGAAATCCTCAATTACCTATCTCTTTTATGTATGCAAGTACTTGCTTGGTCTCTTCTTTAGAGAGCCATGACTTCACAGCATTCATCTCTGCTAGTGACCTCTTGCCAGCTGCAAGGTGTGCAAGTGTGGTATGAGACAGCTTGATGTAGTTGCCTGTTGCCTTGAAATTCATTCATTTGAAGTCTTTGGCAATAGTCCATAATCCACAATGTTTTATACCTGGCATTTTTGCCAACTCAGCACAGTATGCAGAGACTGCTTTGGACATGAGATCATCATGAGCCTCACAAGCATTTTGCCATTTTTTTGTGGCTGATTTCACTCAACCTGGCATTGTAGTAGAGTGGCAAGAGGTTTTGCAGACTATGTAGTTACTGTCAAGCAGAAGACACACATGAACTGTGTCTTGGCACTCCAAACAGTGGCAGAATTTGAAGTAGCTTACACCACCTAAGATCTACAGCACTGGGAACCTGCTGTGGATATATGTCAATAATACTTGTGAATGTGTATACAGTAGGCCTTCAATGTTCCAAGGCAAGCATAATTATGTCAAACAAGTTAGGGCTTGAGTGAGATTGTGCTGTGAAACCCAACCCAACTTTGGCTAAACAGCAGCCACACTTGCCAACACACTTTTCTTCACCATGCACTTAATTCTCGATGTTGAACAGCTTGACTACATGTTATGGACAGCTTAAATACTTGCCAATACAGTTATTACAGTTACCAATGGCTCTTTGAGACAGGAAATTGATTTTTTCACTGTCATTGGGTCATGGTTCTTTCTAGTGGCTTGACTTTATTTTTCCAACCAAGTAGCCTATCTCTAGAATACACCTAAATTTTCAAAGAAAAATATGTAACCATTCAAGCTCAACATCTGAAACCATGAGGGGACCTGTTTTTCGGCGAATGTCACTCATTGAGACAGCTTACTGATTAGGTAGTTTTGCGCAAACAAACAATAGATTTCATTATTGAGCACTATCAAACTTTGTTATCATTCTTCACCACTGTCATCTGACACATCATTAAGGTCAAATTCCTCCCCACTGGCTGACTGTCCATCCTTGTCTTCGCATATGTTCAACTTTGGCCTTGGAATTTGTTCAAAGTCTCTATAGATAGTTTGTGAGCTGCAACATTTTAAACCCTGCTTTTTTGTGAGCTCAGTGCAATATGCAGACACAGCTTTAGCCATGAGATAATCATGAGCTTGATGAACTTCTTGCCATTTTTTTGTAGCAGATTTAGGATGGCCAGGCATACAGTGGCTCAAAAAACTGTCTGCATGTTTTGACATTTTTCACTATCTATGATATTGTGTGAGAACGAACAAATGCGTCAAGGACATGGTTATACCACATTGTAGTATGGCTTCAGGGCTTTCATTTGAGCCCTACACCGTGGGAATCGGTGGAGATATGGTGGAGATACAAGGCTCACAAAATGGTGACTCATGCGGACAGTTTTTTGAGCACATATTAAAACTATATAAATCATCATTTATGACACCATAACAATCATGCCACCATTAAATAAATTATAAAGTGGTGTCATTATGTCATTTTAAAACCATATCTAACTATACAAACTAAAATTTTCCATATTTCATGGTTATATTCACCATGAAAGCCACCCCCCCTGCTCAAAGGGATAATATCCTCTCTCTTTCCTATTTTGGCCTCTCTGCTTGTCAAATTTCCTCTAGAACTGGAGTATCCAAGTCCACTGTGGCCAAGTTCATCAAAGAAAGTCACACAGACAAGGAAAACTTCTGTGAAGGGTGTCCATCCAAGCTCACCTCTACTGATAGGAGGGCTATTATTCAACATATCACTATAGGAAAGGCTGATAATGCTGTCCAGGTCACCTATTACATCAATTCCACCATCACATTCCCTGTCTCTTCACACACTGTGAGAAACATTCTCAAGACAGCTCATCTCAGGTCAGTAACAAGGAAGAAAAGGCTTTCCTCTCTATCACACATATGCAGAGATGACTCACCTTTGCCTTAGCCCATCAGAATTGGATTACATGGACTGGAAGCATGTTATATGATCATATAAGACCACAATAAATAGGATTGGGTCAGATGGCAAGGTATATATGTGAAAAAGAAGGGTGCTAGTCCTCTCTGCATATGTGTGATAGAGAGGAAAGCCTTTTCTTCCTTGTTACTGACCTGAGATGAGCTGTCTTGAGAATGTTTCTCACAGTGTGTGAAGAGACAGGGAATGTGATGGTGGAATTGATGTAATAGGTGACCTGGACAGCATTATCAGCCTTTCCTATAGTGATATGTTGAATAATAGCCCTCCTATCAGTAGAGGTGAGCTTGGATGGACACCCTTCACAGAAGTTTTCCTTGTCTGTGTGACTTTCTTTGATGAACTTGGCCACAGTGGACTTGGATACTCCAGTTCTAGAGGAAATTTGACAAGCAGAGAGGCCAAAATAGGAAAGAGAGAGGATATTATCCCTTTGAGCAGGGGGGGTGGCTTTCATGGTGAATATAACCATGAAATATGGAAAATTTTAGTTTGTATAGTTAGATATGGTTTTAAAATGACATAATGACACCACTTTATAATTTATTTAATGGTGGCATGATTGTTATGGTGTCATAAATGATGATTTATATAGTTTTAATATGTGCTCAAAAAACTGTCCGCATGAGTCACCATTTTGTGAGCCTTGTATCTCCACCATATCTCCACCGATTCCCACGGTGTAGGGCTCAAATGAAAGCCCTGAAGCCATACTACAATGTGGTATAACCATGTCCTTGACGCATTTGTTCGTTCTCACACAATATCATAGATAGTGAAAAATGTCAAAACATGCAGACAGTTTTTTGAGCCACTGTATAAACCTCCTGTAACTCTCGGAAATACTCCAGTTCAAATATCATCTTAGTTCCTGCTCATTCCTGTGTCCTCTGGACTTGAGATAAGTCTCTTGTCATATTCTGAGTCTTAGGATTGCATCCTAGACTACATTTCCAACTCTACCTTAAGGGTAGTCCATCCTCTGTTAGTTTCTAGTCTGGACTTTGTCCAGATTAGTCTTATCCGCTTGCCCAGGTAATATCCAGATGTCTGTCGGATTTATCTCACATTTCAGATCCGGATGTCCATTATCTGCCCTAGTCAAATCCCGGAAACTCCGGACAACTGTTCTAGCCCCCAGAAATTAAGGGCACATACTCAGGAAAGGGGCACAGTGTACGAGCTGAGGCTAAGCCCTTGTGATCCGACCCCCTTGAGCACGTGACCTTAACAGTTAGCTATACATCCTGAACAGTTTCATGTCTCTCTAATTTGCTGTCATCATGCAATGTGGAATACAAATTTTAAATTGTCTAAATTTAGGGTTTTGACTAGTAAAGACACATGTCTCAGTACTATTTTTGTTGGTCAACATAATATAATATTTTCCCTGGGGCAAGATACATGTTGTCTAAATGTGCATGAGCAATTTTGAGAGAAGAAAATGTGTTGTCATTGTGTGAGCCATGTTTTGTATCAATGAGCTGTAGTGTCTCAATGAGCCATTGATGACTGTATAGTTTTGTGTGCCATCACACTGTTGAATATTGAACACAATAGAATTTAAATTTTGAAAGACCTAAAACTAAGACTTCAGACAGTACAAACACACATCTCGAGTAAGAATTTGCAAATGAAGTTTAGACAAAATTTAATGCCATGCAAGAGGCAATGTCAATGAAGCTTATGGAGGTATTACTGAGGCCATAAAGTGAATTGTGGATGTGTGAGATGCATTTTGTATCATGGAGCGATAGTGTCTCAAGGACCAATTGATAACTGTACTAGTAATTAATATAATTGGGCACATTATGAGAAATTCAGCCAATTCAGATAACTCAAATAATTTGGAGAAATTTAGGATGGGAAGGTTTTCCTGATGGCAGAGGCTGTGGGAACGTTGGCACCAGCAGCGGGAGTAGTCAGCACCCAGCCCACACATTGCCGAAAGTTGATTATGCTGCAGTCAGTGGTGGTGGGCAATGCCCACCAACAAAGTGTGATGCTTATATAAGCCAAAAACCCCTAAATGGTCCATTTTCTTGAAACCAAGTGCATACTCAACAGCAAAGCAGTTATTGTGCATTATATTGTGGTGGAAACTAGTGTAGATTATGCTAAAGTATCCTATGTGCAGCACTGAATTATGTGATCAAGCTTGTAAATATAGGTTATATGCAATATTTGCAAGGGAGCATATTAGTATCCACCTAAGTGTCATCATTTGTGTCATCGAGATCATTGTCATGAGTCACCAATTCACCTCATAAACATGCTGAGTGATGAGCCGAAAGCTTCTTGAGCAACTCAAGGCACTGTGACTTGCTGTTGAGGTGTGATTTGAGTGGAATATGCTTCTCTGCTCCTAGACAGCGATAAACCTCAATCTGATCCTTGAGAGCTGGATCAAGCAAGCATACAAGTTGGTTTTGATTGAGCACCAGCACAACACCTGTGAAATAAGTCTCCTTGGCAGAATTAGATGCCTGCTTCTCTGTAGTCTTCTTCTTGGCAGCAGTGGCAGAATCAAGCTTATGCTGAATCAATGCCCCCCGCTGCTGCCTCTCAACTCCACTCATATCAGTAAACATGGCATTCATGAATTCTTGAGTGTCATTGCATTTTTGCATGGGCACATCGAAGTTGCTCATTCTTAGCTTTAGAACACCTTTTTTGGAAGAGCCAGGCTGTACTTGATGCACCATTTGGTGTTGAAGATTACAGTGAGACTTAAAATATCATAACATCTTTAAAAAACGAGAGTTGACTGCACGTAGTACGTAGAACTTCGAAGGAATGCAAGCACATCGCATATCTGTGCTGAAGCCATAAGTCCCGTTTTTGGAAAATCACAAATTGTGGCTGACCTTTTACTGTTTACAGGGGCTGTTTTCATCCGAGACCTCTATGTACCACACCCGTTGTCGTTTGCATTCATGCACAGCAAGGAATACTCTCATTTCCCCCCAGCCAACAATAATTTCAGAATAGATTTTTTGTTGTGTGCTCTTGGGGCCTAAAACCAACCATTACTGAGGCTAAAATATGCTCACAAATGTCAAATTGCAAAATGTATCCTGATACTCTTGTTTATAACATCAATCCATCACATTTCGCCCATGAACACTTAACACAAAAGTCTTTCCTTTGGTACATAGTGTCAAGTTTCACTTCTGTGTGTTTATAGCGTGGGATAGCTTATATAAGTGTCATGCTTTGCTGGCGGGCGTTGCCCACCACAGTCAGCTAAGCCACCGTCGGATAAAGCTGAGAGGAAAAAACGTACCTGCGAAGTCACTGCTGAGTACTGTGGTATAGATTATTCCCTCTAACTAGTAACGCGAGAGCGTACCTTCTCACGTTACTGAGTAGTAACATAAACGGTGTCACTCAGGTGGTTATTTCCTGTGCATGCTGTCGCTTTACCTGATTCAGACTTTTGAACTCGGGCCGGCACAAGATATGCGGATATCTCTTCTGTGCTGTGTTCACGAGCCGTAGTGGTGTAAATAAATTCCCGAGACGACTGTCAAATTATGAAGAAGTTCTTCGATGCATCCTGGAGTTGATCTGGTCGATAAGGGATTTTTTTTCGCCCAACCTTCACCGTATAACTCGTCCTTCCGGCCAGACAGGTTTTCCTTGCATTTGTACTGTCTTTTTACACTTCACGCGTATACAGGCACTGAAAAGCGATCAGTTGTAGGCTCTCAGCGGGGTGGCAAAGACACCTTTGCGTCAACCGACTAATGTTGCAGGACGGCGATCTCCTTCAACTTGCTTGTGTAGTTTTAATAAAATTACGGTAATTCTCTATCTTGGATAGAGGTGTCGAGTTCCCCCAGAATCTAGGACAGGCTGTTGCGATACATTAAAGGAAACTGAATAAAAGTGTGAGTGCTCGCAAAGAAATGCAATCAGAATATTCTTACCCATGACGTTTGGCGCTTGAACACCTTATGTAGGTCCGCTCTTTGTTACTGTTGACCAGTTCACCGCGTTGGCCGTGTCTCCCAAAGTGCCAATATAAATTTCGATCTGATGTCATCACTCTCGCGAGTGGAATTTGGATCTACGATCATTCAACCCCTCGTGGAGCCATAAGCTTACTCTGATCGCATTGTTAGTCTCAGGAAGGCGTAAACATCCACAGCGCGTCCACAACACGCGTCTCGTCTTTTCAACGCGGACTTGCCACAAGAATGAACATCTCAAGTGTGGATGCAAAGCTGAACATGTCGTACCAACAGACCACTGTCCCATTTAGTGAATAATGGTGGTCCACAGGATATGTTCTCTGAAAGGAAGGTCCCTGCAGTGGAAACACAACTCGAGGACACCTTCAAAGCGGCTCCGGACAAGCATATAAATATTGCTTCGGTGGCCTTCATCCTCTATCCCTCACTCACTGCACTTACTGCCACTGCGAACGCATACACACCCACTTAATATTTTAATCATTTATCTGCTGGCCCAGGTATGTGTATACCCAGCTTCAACACCTGCGCTTCCTAACTACATTTACTTTTTACCTCCAGATGACCCAATCCACATCCCACCCCTCCTCGTCGAATGATTCCGATTCTTCCAATGCGGTACAATACATGCCAAACACTGGCATGTATATGGGTCAATTTCCCTGGCCCCAGCCCGCGTACATTCCTCATCCAGGCTTCTACAATCCTGATGATGTGGAGCCTGATGCACCACATGGTGACGCCCCCTCATACGCTCCCGTCGCACCTTCGCCTAATGTGGGTGCTGGAATTGAGCATCACGCATTCCAAGCAGGACCAAATGGTTATTACCCCCCTGCAGTAGCTGATATATTGGGTGCCACTTATGTTGGTCCATACCCACCGCTAACTCAGGCTGCTCCTCCGCCACAACACCCATCCGCGCCACCCCTGTACCATCAATCTTTCCCATCGAGTTCTTTTCCAGGAGCCACGAACCCTTACACTCCACCCGAACCGCACCAAGAATATATCCACCAGAATCACGCGCCTTGGCTTTCAGCGCCCTTTGCTCCCTTGTTTGTCCCTCAAGCACCAAGTTTGTCGGTCGGTAAAAAGCGCGTCGCCGAAGGCCTCGAAGAACGCGGCGTCAAGCGAACTAAAATAGTCTCCAGCAGGATCAAGAACGACCCGTTATTTGTGAGTTTTCTTCTCATCTTGTGAGATCTCATTTTTAATCCTTGGGACAGAAACCCGTGTTAGATCAACATGGTCAACCCAACGGGACATTCGTGTGTTCCAAAGACGGCATAATACTCAATCCTGAAAGCTATCTTAAGCACCTCAAGACGAAAAATCACCTAGGCTTCAAACTAGAGAAATACAAATGCCCCGGTTGTATCAAAACGTGCGTATCCTAACTCTCAAAATAAGCGCAACTTGTAATTAATATTGTTGTGATTAGTTATGCCCGACGTGATGCCTGCAAGAGGCACTGGGACGACGGTTGTGGAAAGCTAGCACCTGAGGGCGCTCGGCAATCATACGCAGACGCTTGCAGAAATTCCACGAGTTCCGCCTCTGCCGCGCCTGTGACAATGCCTACCGCGCCTGCGACAGCACCTACCACGGCATTCACATATTCTTACCCGTACCCCATGCCCGTCACGTCGATGTCCGGAAACGGGCCGATCGCGTTCCCAGCAGCTTGGGTTGCGCAGTCGTATGGAACGCCCACTGTCGCGGATCCCGTACTTTGCCTCTCTCAGTCACCAGAGAATAACATGGTCACAGAGCCCACCGAAGACGAAGACGAAGACGACGAAGACGACGCTGATTTTTGGGAGGCTAATGAGATACGGGACACAGATGAGATGTAGCTATATTTTCCTTCTGCTACCAACTATTTTCTCTGTTTTATCATCTGCTGTTGTTTATTCACATATTCTTTCCATCTACACGCATTCTTTCCGCCTACACACACTCTTTCCGCCTACACACATTCTTTCTATTTCCTATGGCATAACACGCTACTCTTCATTCATTCATTCATTCATTCATACTATCACGATCGCTATTATCGTTATTGCTATTCTTATGCATCACCAAGGTGATTTGGTATTTCATTGATTGTAATACACACACTCCTTGCATGTACGCGCTGGAAGATATAAGGAACGAGCGGGCAAGTGGAAGCGATTCCAAAGATGGACTCGACAAGTATCGATATTAATACCAGAAATATCGACTCATTTCCGCCGTTAAATCTTGACAGACTCAGAGAGCGCTTGTTCAAGATTCAAATGAAGACCCAGACGCGCAAATCATTAATAGGCACGAACCTAAACCAAAACTATATAGCGGCACTACAACACGAGGTAAACTATCTCAACGCGGAGCGGGCCCACAATTCACTCAACACGACGAAGTCCCTTCAGCGGAGGTAAATTATGCAACACTATTGAGGGTGTTCTATTACTCGTGGTGGGTGTTTCCCTTGTTTGGCAGTCAAGCATGAGCAGTGGCATCCCACAAACAGCTACCTGGGTGGATAATATTGGGAGTGTAGCAATAATGACAAAACCCCCATTGAGCCAGTCTATCAACAGCAGATGGTTAACATGCGAAGATAGTGCTACATCGTACTGAAGGAGGCCTCGATCGTAATCACTGACCCAGACCACCCACCGGCGAGTTCCACTGTGCGGTACACGGTTCTAGGGACGAAATCAGCACATGATAACTGAATGTGCAGAATGCTAATAGAATAAAATGCAGATTGTAGAAGCTCGTCCCAGAAATGGTATGTTGCAATTTCTGACTCATAGATCGTCGACCCTTCCTAAATTTAATAACCTGGCGGCAGAAGGGCAACGGAAGGATATATGACATTTCTAATGCAAGAGAAACTTAGCTGCAAAAGCTATCAGCATCCACCCCAATGCCCGTTATACTTTCCAGTTATTCGCAGAGATGTACCGGCGTGGTTCATGACATGATGCGGACAATACCAGAGTTGTAGAGGAGGGACCAGTGCATGCGGAAACCGAATTAACATTCGGTTGACAAAGTACAGGATGGTGCTTTATTGGCAACTAGGAATGTCGTGGAAGGGCCTTGGACGAGCCGAGTTTAATGAACTCAAATGATACGGGGGAGTTTAAAAGGACATGCTGTACGACGAACAGCCATGAGTTATGAAGAGGGGTAGATATAAATAAAATAAAGACGGAACGCGCCCATATTCCCACCGCCGCTCTTTGACATCACTAGCATCCTGGTAAGACGAAAACTCATAAGAGCATCACGCACAGATGAACTGACAGTTTAACCGGAGTAGGAGAAGTGCAGCAGCTCTCGAACGAGTGAGAGTTGAACCCACCCCATATCAAGCCTAACCTTGCAGGGCACAAGCACTACATCCAAATAACTTGCCAACCTGCTTGGCGAATACAGCTATGATGGCTTCCAGCTCAATGATACAACCCGGTGCAACAACAAACAAATCAATTCTGACACCAGTCATGACCTTGGAGGGACATAAGCCATACATTATGTCCCCGTCGCATCGTGAAAATCTCGAGTACAAACATGTTTCATGCATTTCCTATTTTCCCGACGGCATGCAAATGATCAGCAGATCGGACGATAAGACCATTCGGCAATGGGATCTGCGGGAGGGCAAGGAGATTGAGGAGGCTCGGGAGGTTTGCGAGAATCGTATAAATGCAGTGGGGGTATCAAGGGATGGTCGATGGGTTGTCACTGCTGGTAGGGAACTCAAAGTCAGTGAGGTTGAGACGAAGATCGTGAGAACATTTCGTAAAGGCTATTGGATCAGATGTATCGATATCTCCTCGGACAGCACGCTGCTAGCGGGTGGGTCGATCGATTCTGTGCAGATATGGAGCTTGGAAACTGGCGAACTCGTGGCTGGTCCATTCAAACCAAGTGGTAATTTCGTGGACACACTTCGACTCTCGGAAGACTCTCGGAAGCTGGCGGCGATGTCAAATTGGGGGCGGTGTCTTCAGGTGTGGGATGTCCAAGCACAGAAATTGGATATCACCGTACAAAATTCCATTCCAAACAAGGTGGTGGCATTACCGGTCTTCTGGACAACAAATGGCAAATCCATCGTAGCCTCATTCAGCTTCATTCAAGTTGCAGATGAGTGTCCCAGGATGATCTATGAGTTTGACGCGTCGACGCTCAGGACTGTCGGAGCTCCTTTCAAAGGGCACACTGATACCATCACCGGTCTAGCACTCTCCTCTGATTGCGTTCTTCTTATCAGCTCTTCATACGATAACACCATCAAGCTGTGGGCCTTCGAGTCCCGTCAGTTCCTCTCTTCATTCGACGTCGAATGTCCCCTCACCCTCGTTCTCTCGCCCGATTCACGCCAACTGGCTTACACGTCTTGGGATGACACCAATATCTATATATGCAACATTCCAGCCAACATCCTTGCTAGCATCGGGCTTGCAGAAGACCCGCAGCCTGGTGTATGTATTCCCCTATACATCTATCATATGCTAATACTCTTACAGACCAGCAAACCTGAAGGTTTGCGCTGTGCTGACATACTCAACGTACGTGGTCCTGCTCTCTCATTCATTTACATCACACCATTCCCTGTTATAGTCCGATGTAACGCGTCATCCCGTGTGCCGTAAATCGGTGATAACACCTGCCATGTCTCTCAACCCTTGCCCCCCAAGACCTCTGCCTACAAGCGACCAACATGCTTTCCTTCGTTTTCTACGCAAGCTTCTCTCCTCCTCTCCTGGTATTGACGCGATTCGCACCAATGAGCCTCGTAACCCCCTGGATGTATGTTTCTTGTGCCCGTTTGCCTTTGCAGTTGACTCGACGATTCCCTTGCAGTTCCCTGCCACATCGCCCCTACCTCGTCCACTTATAAAACCAGACGAGAACGTGAGTGGGGACTTTCGTTATTATATATTCAACTTACATTCTTCTAGTCTCGACCACCCATCACTCAATCCTCCGTCGTTAATACTTCCCCAACCCTCAAATCCAGCTTACATCGACTATTAACTTGGTGGCCCTTCCAGACAAAGCATGCATCGCCTGCTATCAATGTTGTTGATGTTCCTCTCGCTCCGGGTAAATTGGTATGCACGTCTCATTTTTCTCATAGTATTCCAAGTCTTATGCATTCATGTATAGCGGTACGCTACAGCGGGTGCTCCCGGCCCTGATGATGACCTGATACGCGACGAAGACTATGTTTCTCCTCCCTCCTTCGCCGAATCCCGATTCACGACAACCATCTACGGCAAAGGTGGCCTATGCCGGAGAGCATGGAAGTGGCCGGTTTTGTTTCTGCTTGTAGAGTGATTTCGACCCCGGGCATTTCGTTATTGTCATTACTTCTTGCATGCGTTATACTCCTGACAAACCCTAAAGCGGGTGAGGTCTATCAATGCACAGTCCCCGATAACAATCGATCCTGTCTGGACTCTATGAAGACCTCCCATATGCACAGTCTGTTGCATATCCAAATTGTTGGACTCAGAAGGTTGTCGTCTCCTTCGTAGTCTTAATTCCAGAGATTAGAGGGGCCGGAGAGGATGGCTCCTCTGGTATTCGCGCGGTCAGCCTGATTTTTTGATACAACTAAAGCTGCCTGAAATATCCTCGAGTGCCATTGCAGCGATCACTCCAGTCAACTTATTGACAAACAAGCGGGAATGAGACAAGATACTACATTGACCATGGCACTCAAATATAAGGTTATGATAGTTCCAGATTAAAGCAAGGCGGAGCCCGAAAGCAGTCCTAAGGTTACTAATCTCATGTAGATCATCGTCGGACCCTCTCGACTTGTAGACCTGTATGGAATCCGATGAAGCAAAAGCTGAATCCAACTCTAAGTAACAAAATCATGCATTTCCTGATATAACAGGAAAAGCGTCATATAACAAGGTAATGACATCTGCCATGACAGCATCCACCCCAATGCCTGTGATACTTCCATTCATTCGTATAGGTGTAGCGGCACGATTCGCATGTGACATGGTGCGGATAATATCAGAGTTGTCAAAAAGGCACTGCATGTGGAGACTGAACTGGCGCCCGGTGATGGGTACAAGAGACTGACTGGCGCTTGATTGGCATTTGGAAATGAATGACGTGTACGAACCAAAAAGGAAGAGGAAAGTTCGATGAACTGAACCTAGCTATAGGGTGGAATTAGAAAAGGATATGCCATGCGATGCACAGCTGTCTGGAATGTATTAATATAAAGAGGTGGGGCAGGCGCCCATATACTTCATCGCTCTCTGTCCTTGCTAGCATCCTGGTAAGACGAAATCCTATATGAGCATCATGCATGAATGAACTAACGGCTAGTTTAAAGCAGGCAAAGTGTGATATTCGAACGAGTTAGACTTGAAAATCATTCAATATCGAATCTAGCCTTACAGGGAACGAGGCTCACCGGACACACCTATTAACCTGCATACTTGCCAACCTGTCTGGCGAATACAGCTGTGATGGCTTCCAGCTCAACACAACCCGGTACAACAGATAAGTTGATTCTGACACCGGCCTTGACCTTGGATGGACATAAACCATTGATTCATTCCTTGCCGGGTGGTAGACATCTCGAGTTCAGAAATTTTTCATGTATTTCCTATTTTCCTGACGACAAGCAAATGATCGGTAGGTCGGGAAATAAGACCATTTGGCGGTGGGACCTGCGGGAGGGTAAGGAGATTGGGGAGGCTCATGAGGCTTTCAAGATTAATTGCATAGCTGTAATACGAGTGGGGGTATCAGGGGATGGTCGATGGGTTGTCACTGCTGCTGGAGATGTCGACACCAGGGAGCTCAAAGGTTGAGACATATGGGGACCGTGAGAAATGATTTCATGACACATCTGGGATATAAACGTAAACAGGTAGAACGCGTGCGGCGTGCCTATAGGCCATCGTCGCTCTTCATCGTCGCTAGTGCCATCCTGGTAAAACCGAAGCCCATATAAGCACCACGCACAGACGAACTGACGATTGATTTTAGTAAACAGAGTACGGTAGCTCTCGAATGAAAATCACTCAAAGGTCAAGCCCAATCTTGCAGGGTACGAGAACTCACTGAGCACATCCAAATAACCAACATACCTGTCTGGCAAATACAACCTTTATGGCTTCCAGTTCAACACAGCCTGGTGAAACAGCAAACAAATTGATTCTGACACCGGTCATGACCCTGGAGGGACATGAACCATGGATATCTCCAGGCTGGTCGGATGAAAATGGCCATCCCGTCAAGTCCAAAGATATTTCATCCATGTCCTATTTTCCCGACGGCAGGCAAATGATCAGCGGATCACACGATCAGACCATTCGGCGATGGGACCTGCGGAAGGGTAAGGAGATTGAGAAGGCTCGGGAGGTTTGCGAGAATCGTATAGATGTAGTTGGGGTATCAAGGAATGGTCGATGGGTTGTCACTGCTGGTGGCAGTGGGGAGCTCAAAGTCAGTGAGGTTGAGACAGGGACCGCGAGAACACTTCATGAAGACAAATGGCCCTGGCCATGGATCAGGTGCATCGATATCTCAGCGGACAGCACACTGGTTGCGGGTGGATCGGACGATTCTGCAGTGCGGATATGGAGCTTGGACACAGGGAAACTCATGGCCGGCCCATTCGGATCAAATGATAATTTTACACGCACTCTTCGACTCTCGGCAGACTCTCGGAAGCTGGCGGCGTTGGGGCGGCGTCTTCAGGTGTGGGATGTCCAAACACAGAAATTGGATGTACAAAAATATACTCTCAGCACTAGTGCGGCGTCAACTTTGCCTGTATTCTGGACAACAAAAGACAAATCCATCATAGCTGCAGATGGCACCAGGACAATCCATGAGTTTGACGCGTCCACGCTCAAGACTGTTGGGGCTCCTTTCAAGGAGCACCCTGGTCCCATCATGGGTCTAGCACTCTCATCTGATTGTGTTCTTCTCGTCAGTTCTTCTTTGGACCAAACCATCAAGCTATGGTCCTTCCAATCCCGCCAGCTCCTCGCTTCATTCGACGTCCAAAATATTGTCCAGTCCTTTACCTTCTCACCCGATTCACGCCAACTAGCTTACACGAATTTCAATGATTGCAATATCTACATTTGTAACATTCCAGCCAATGTCCTTGCTAGCATTGGGCTTGCAGAAGAGCCGCAGCCTATTGTATGTATTCCCCGCATAGAATCGTCGTTTACATGCTAATATCCTTACAGAAACTTTCACGCCACGCTGGTCTGCTCAACGTACGTGGTCCTGCTCTCTCATTCATCTGCATCTATACCATTCTCCATCACAGTCCGATGCAACACGTCGCCACTCCCGCAAACCAGTGATAGCACCTGTCATGTCTCCCATCTCTCACCCGCCAAGACCTCTGCCTGCTGGCGACCCACACACTCTCCTTCGTTTTCTACGCAAGCTCCTTTCATCCTCTTCTCGTACGGATGCGGTTCTCACCGACGAGCCTCGTAATCCCTTAGACGTATGTTTCTTTACCTGTTTGCTTCTTAGTTGACTCGACAGTTCCCTTGCAGTTCTCTGCCACATTGCCTCTACCTCGTCCACTTATAAAACCAGACGAGAACGTGAGTGGAGGCTGCTATGATTGCATATTAAGCTTACATTCTTCTAGTCTCGACCCACACCGGCACCACCCACCACCCAATCCTCCATCGTCAATACTTCCCTGGCCCTCAAATCCAGCTTACATCGACTATCAACTTGGTGGCCCTTTCAGACAGATCATGCATCGCCAGCTATCGCCCTTGTTCCTCTCGCGCCGGGCAAACTGGTATGCGCTTCTTATTTTTCTCGTTGTATCCTAAATCTCATGCATCCATGTATAGCGGGTGCTCCCAGGCAATGATGATGATGATTTAATACGCGACGAAGGACTATATTTCTCCTCCTCCTTCCCCCAATCCCGGCTCACGCCGAGGGATTGTCAACGCCGGACAGCATGGAAGCGGCCGGTTCTGTTCCTGCTTCTAACTGAATTTGAACTTTTCCCCTGTTATCTCGTCACTGTAACTGTAATTACTCGTTGCATGCATTGTCTTCCTACACTTATATCAAGTCTATGGTTACTATACCCCTTTGAGCGCTCGAGATATATCACAGTCCCGATGGTCGATCCTGTCCATCACAGGTCGCGGAGTGTTTTGTTTTACAGCAACACACGCTAGAAAATGAGTACGAGGACCTCTGAGACACACTGTTATGCGTCCAGTTGCAATCAGAAGGACGGCCGGTTGACTATTCACGCGTTTATAGTATTTCCACCAACTAGATACTCTTCATTCATTCATACTATTACGATCGCTATCATCGTTATCGCTATCGTCATCATCATAATAGTGATTCGTTGGTGATAATAGACACAATCCTTGCATGTGCGCGCCGAGTTTCACAACACAGAACTCGAACTTGACAAGCACCAAGATTCAATATCAGGCAATTCGCATAAAGCTGGTGTCCAAGAAGGGATCCGAGCTTGTGTCTTATGAATAATATTTAAGGCAGGTTGGTTTCATGACTCGATGCTCACTTCAGATCCATTAACACGGCTCGAATTCAGCCGTAGGTTGCATGTGACCGATTGAAGAGATCGTAGTGAACAGTTTGGAATCTGGAGACAGCATTGGAACAGGTGCTCAATGGAGGTTGAACTCTACACTCTGGATAGTATACTCATAAGAAATGAGGGACGCGGAGGTAAGGCTGAATGAGTGCAGGCTATCAAAGAATTGCAGGGACAAATATACAGATTAGGAGGTAAGCGGTGCAAGATCAGGACATCAACTAACCTCCGATATCACGCGCGAGCGCACTAGCTCAGTCAAACTGTGCCAACTACTTAGCAACAGTGACAAGTGCAACCGACCACGTCGCAAAAAAAGGCAATCGAATTCTATAATCTTGATTGGTTCGTCCTCGTCTTGGAGGCGAAGCATGAATGGTAACATCCCACTTCAAAAGACTACCTGCGTCCCATCAAGCAAGTCCATCGGCAGTTAATCGTCAACATGCAAAGATAAGTGCTGCAACATACTGAAGTAGGCCTCGGGTTGCGCTTACTGACCTAGAGCACCCATCGGAAGCTCCACTGTACGGTACACAGGTCTAAGGACGAAATTAGTACATAATAAATATTGATAAAAAGATGTGTGGAGCGCTAATTATCGAATAAAAATGCAGATTGCGCAGAAAGTCGGCCGCCAAAGCGATGGGAAGTATATAACAAGAGTGAAGGGATGGAATGTTGGCGATACTTCCTGTTATTTGCAAATGTGTGGCAGCGCGGTTTACGAGTCACGACACAGTGTGGGTAAGAACGGAGTTGTAGAGGTGGCACTGTATGCCGGGACCGAATTGGTGTTCGAATGACAACAGGCCGGCTTGCACTTCAATTAGGAATGTCGTGGAGGCCGGACGGGCCTTGGAAAGGGAGAGGTAGATTTGATTCAACTGAATCTAGAAAAAGACATGCTGTACGATGCGCAGCCGTCTGGAAGATATAAATATAAAAGAGGTAGGACTGGCGCCCATATGCCCATCGTCGCTCTTCAGAGTACCACTGTCTGTAGAATGCTTAGTAAATGGTTTTATTGCTGTCTATGGATAGCTATAGTGTAGGATTTCTAATTTTATTGTGACGAAAGGAGACATTGTTAGAAAATCAATGGACAAGTTGAAAATATACCTCAGTTACACTAACAATTACAAAATGCTGAGGTGTAGGGTGGGGTTTGACGTGGCAGTGACGAGGCACTGGCGCAGCATGTGCGATGTTTGACGCGACATAGGTAAGTGACAGCGCCGCATCACATGCACCGCGCCGATGTCGCGCCACAACCGCGGCAGGCGCAGCATGCCCACGTCAATTTCACCTGACACGTTAAAAGGGCCATGCTCATTGTTGCATGATGCGCAGCCGCTTGGAAGGTATAAATATAAAGAGGTGGGATGCGCACCCATATGCCCATCATCACGCTTCGTCCTTGCTAGCATCTTGGTAAGATGAAAGCCCATATGACCATCAGGCATGGATGACCTCACAATTGACTTAGCAGGCAATAGCTAGTGCGTCAGCTCTCGAACGAGAGTTTAAGGTCAAGCCTGACCTTACAGAGCACGAGAAGAACTCACCAAGCACATTCACTGTTAACCGATACACTTGCCAACCCTTCTGGCAAATACAGCTGTAATGGCTTCCAGCTCGACCCAGCCAGGTACAGCAACAAACAATTCAATTTTGACACCGGCCATGACCTTGGATGGACACAAACCATCCATTATTTCCTTGCCGGATGGTAAACATCACGAGTACAAAGGTGTTTCATGCATTTCCTACTTTCCCGACGGCAAGCAAATGATCAGCGGATCACGTGATAGGACCATTCGACGATGGGATCTGCGGGAGGGTAAGGAGATTTTTGAGGATCTGGAGGTTTGCGAGAATCGTATACAAGCAGTGGGAGTATCAAGGAATGGTCGATGGGTTGTCACTGCTAGTGGCAGTGGGGAGCTCAAAGTCAGTGAAGTTGAGACGGGGATCGTGAGAACATTTCTTGACAAAGGTCATTTCGTTTGGATCACCTGCATCGATATCTCCTTGGACAGCAAGCTGGTTGCGGGTGGGTCGCTTGATTCTGAAGTGCGGATATGGAGCTTGGATACAAGAAAACTCGTGGCTGGCCCATTCAATTGTAGTGGTGATCGTCACCCTACCCCGGGCGGTGACTTAGCACTTCGATTCTCGAAAGACTCTCGGAAGCTGGTGGTGTTGTCATATGTGGAGCAGCGCCTTCAGGTGTGGGATATCCAAGCACAGAAAATGGATGTACAAAGATATACTCTCAAAGATGCGGTGTCAACTTTGCCGGTATTCTGGACAACAAAAAATAAATCCGTCGTAGCCGCAATCAGCTTCACGGATAGCAACTTCCCCACAACGATATATGAGTTTGATGCGCTGACCCTCAAAACTATCGGTGCTCCTTTCAATGGGCACACTGATGCCATCAGTGGTCTAGCACTCTCATCTGATTGTGTTCTTCTCGCCAGCACTTCCTACGACCGCACCATCAAGCTATGGGCCTTCGAGTCCCGCCAGCTCCTTGCTTCATTCGACGTCATATCTCGGCCGTTCACCGTCGTCCTCTCGCCCGATTCACGCCAACTAGCTTACACGTCTAGGGATGAGACCAAGATTCACGTATGCAACATTCCAGCCAACATCCTCGCTAGCATTGGGCTTTCAGAAGAACTGCAGCCTAGTGTATGTACTCCCCGCATACATCCATCATTTATATGCTAATATTTTGTAGACGAGTAAATCTAAACATTCGCCCAACGCTGTGATGACATCTGTCATGTCTCCCTTCCATCGCCCACCGAGACCATGGCCTACAAGGGACCGACATACTTTCCTTCACTTTCTACGCAGAGTACTCCTTTCCTCCTCTCCTCGCACGGATGCGGTTTGTACCGATGGGCCTCGTAATCCCCTGGATGTATGTTTCTTTTACCTTTTTGCCTTTCAGTTCACTCGACGGTTCACTCACAGTTACCTGCTACATCGCCCCTACCTCGTCCACTTCCAAAAACACGATGAGAATGTGAGTGCGGACTGCCACAATACATGTTAAGCTTACATATTCTTAGTCTCGACTCTTACCGGCACTACCCACCAACCAATCCTTTGCCATCAATACTTCCGCACCACTCAAATCCTGCTTACATCGACCATGAACCTGGTAGTCCCTTCATACATATCATGCATCGCATACTATTAATGTTGTCGACGTTCCTCTCGCGCAGAGTAAACAGGTTGGCGGATGCTCCTGGCGATGATGACTCCTCGATATACGGCGAAGACTACCTGTCTCCTCCACCTTCCCCTAATCCTGGCTGAAGCCAGTTACCTGCGGTATATATTGTCAACGCTAGGCAATATGGGCCAGTTTTGTTTCTGCTTAGCTGATTTTGAATTTGTTTCCTGGCATCTCGTTACTGTAATTGTTGCTCGTTGCATGTGTTGTCTTCCCTAGACTTATATCGAATTAATGGTCACTAAACCCCTACAGCGCTTAAGATATATCAACAGTCCCGATGGTCGATGCCGTCCAGACTCATCGGTCCGAGTCACGAAAGTGAGCAGTGCGAGGGCCTCCGACTCGGAAACGTACTGTCGTGCGTCCAGTTGCAATAAGGACAGACAGTCGTGTTTTTGAGTCGTTCCAAACTTTTTCCCTAAACATCTCAATTTCACTGCTCGTTGTATGCATTGTCCTAACGTGAGCTTGTGGATCTACAATAAACTACAATGTTTGTAAAAGCATACAAACGCGCATTTCCAGCGGTTCGGTGTCAATTGTATCCACTCCGTCCAAACTCCAACTTTCTCCTGCCTTCACCTTCATTAATTCATCATTCACCTCCATAACCAGTAGCACTGGCCACAACCTGTGATTTTCATTGATTGGTCTATGTTCAAAATGCATACAGGACAGCAAATGACTGGAAATATGAGGTAACATTGCCTGACGGTGACTAAGCGGTAGCCGTCTTTATAAACATTAATTCCTAGTAGTTGGAGGGAACACAGCTTTCGTTGCATACTCGCTCGCCATGATCGGTTTGCACTACTGACTGGCGGCCCCTACTCGTAAAAGACATCTCGCTAGGACCGCATCAATTGCTGTTTCTACCTTCCTCGGCTCCAATGCGCACTCCTCCACGTTGTTTTCAGCCTGTGGCAGCGTCTGAAAAGCCACCCTCACCCATTATTCTTGTGTCTTGAAACCGCCGATATCGGCACTTCAATGTCTTGACAAGTTTTGTTGCGGAATTGGATCTCGCTGTTTCCCGCACTTCGCCCCCTGCCGGCCTGTCTTCGTGCGTTCTTGAAACCGGAGGCTCGGTGACAATAGCATCCATCCGTCGTGCTGTGTTGTTGCGCGTTGATGCCTGGCGGTGTTCGTGAGTTGCGACATGACTTAATCGCTGTGTGACATACACTAGTAGCGGCTCTAGTATGGTAACGAGTGTCATATTTTAGTGCCTGGAGGACTTATCCCTTCAAGCGTCGTAACTAAAGGTTTGAGCCAATGCTACTAGCTGAAGCGCTAAAAGCTTTGTAACTAAGCTTGGCAGTATTCGCCCTGTCTGTGACACTCTAGTCAAATGACGCTAGTCAAGATGGGTTAAACTGCTATGCACATTAATGTGCTATAAAGTGCCAATGGACAACGGCGAAACTCATCACTACAGATCCAACAGTTCCAGTCATGGTCAACACTACTACCGCAGCGGGACTCATCGGTGTTGTTCTTTTGACCCGCCACGGCGACAGCACGATATACTACCAAGACCCAACTACATACAACTCCACCCAATCATACGTCACCCCTCTTGGAGAGGTGAGAGCTCTGCGCTATAATACTGGATCTTGCTCACGAATGTTTAGCAACAAGAATTTGAACTCGGGAGCTTCCTTCGTAATACATATCTCAATCCCGATTCGCCATCTTTCATCCAGAATATCAGCACTGACGTGGTAAACATCGATCAGCTGGCAGTCCGCTCAGACGCCGGTGGAGGAAATGGTATCCTGAACTCCGCATATGCTCTGCTTCAGGGTCTCTATCCATCCACACAAAAGTCACAGATAACTTTGGCGAATGGTACAAAGGTCACCCCTCCTCTTGGGGGATACCAATATATTCCAGGCAAGTCAGTCACAGTTACTCGTTGGTTCTCTAACTAATGTGCTGCAGTACAATCTTTGGAGTATTGGCAGAGTCCGTCTCTCACGAGCTGGATGGAGTGCGAGGTATGAAATCTATTGTATCTTCGGGAGGTCACTTCATAACGCCCGGAAACCTAGTATTTCCAAGATCATCTAATCCGGCTTTACGCTTCGTCTTCATTCATAAACATGTCTACCACTGCCGCGCCCTTCCTGACTGCATTAAAGCCTTACTTGGGAGGCGTCAGTAACAACTTCACGAACATGGTATGTCACTTCAGCGCATCTGTCAAAGCTTTTCTAACTTGAACGAAATTGCGTAGTGGAATGTAAGGGCACATTTGAATATTTTCAGACTGAATTCATCGTCTCGCAGATATATGACTATGTCAATGTCCAGTACACTTATAACCAGACCTATTACAAGACCCTACCTCCCACTTTCCTCCAGCAAGCTCGCTATTATGCCGATTGGGTGCAACGCAATGTCTTCACCGATTCTACGTCAAGTAGCATCGGACAAGGTAAGTTAGGATTCCATTACAAAAACGCGTCCGACTAACCTTGCTGCAGTTGCCATTCGGACACTCTTCCCGGAGGTCTTCTGGGCTTTGGGCAACATGACAAAGAGTTCTAACAAAGTCAAGATGAATATTCAGGAAATCGATTACAAGCCATTCATCAGTCTGTTTAACGTCACCAACGCTACCCTGACTAATCCCGGGATTAGTGGTATCCGTCAGTATCAATAGTGTATGAGTTCGGCCCTGCAGACTGACACTAATTCACAGCCAACTATGCTTCTGTCGTTGCCCTCGAGTTGTCACAGAACTCGCAGGGTCAGTACGAGGTCAGCATGAAGTTTAAGAACGGCACTGAGGATAGCCAATTCGGTCAACTTGAGATATTCGGCAACACGAGCATCAGCCTTAACAGTTTTATTCAACAACTTACTGTGAGCTGCTCTATACAGCGCGTATAATTTCTTGCTCACAGATTCATTCATTCAGGTCAATACGATTCCGATCAACAATACTAATGAATGGTGCTTCTCCTGCAATCAGACTATCCAGCGCGGATGCTCTGTCTATAACTTCAGTAATGACCCCTTCTTGAATGGCATTGGTACTGGTTATACGCGCTAGACGAGGTGTATCTTTAGATTTTCTGGATGTAAAACTACATAATTATTTCGAATAATCCATCGTTCTCCAGAACTCAACATCAGTGAGCGATGGCGTTTAGACTTCAAGAAATATGTACATTGAGCAATGAAAGCACCGCAATTTCCCTCGCCCTCCCTCTAGACCATCCTTCCTACGAATAACTCCCCTTGAAAAAACGCCCCAAGGTCCCCTTTGTATCCATATAGCATCAACCACTTGTAAGAGTATAAGTAAGTGTCATCATTTCGTGAAATAGGTGGTAGTCACTGACTATCTGTTTGAGTAGCAGAGTCGCCTACAGATCTCCTATTAATTCGAATATATTGAAATCGCTATCGGGCTCTGCAGTTAATTCGAGGGAAGGAAGAAGGGTAACATATTCAGCTCGCTGCTGATCTGTCGTCCACACTGCACTCCCGAAAGTCAGACTCTCCAGGGGACATTTTGACCGCGTCAAAAATTCCTTGAACTCTTCATGTGGCCACTGCCCCATATGGCGAACTTCAACGACGCGAAGGTTGGGGAGTGTGATAACCTCGAATAGGCCAAGATCACCGCCTTGGTTACACAATGCATCTCCATACATGCGTAAGGTTTGAAGATTGGTGTGCGTGATTGGTTCTGGGGTCTGAATGGGGTCGAATATTCCAAACACCGTGACGGAAGAGAGGTTAGGGCATAGATGGAGTATGCGGGGGAATGCATCTAGTCCATTTATGTTGATCTCGACATGTGTGAGACGGGCCCATGCGGAATCACTGAAGAAATCTAACTGCCTGCGGTCGAACAACAGACCCGCCATGTTGAGTCTACGCAGATTAACCGGCAATTTCGCGAGGGAGCAGGTCAATAGCTCGCTTGGGGTCGAAACCGTAGTTGTTTATAGTGAGCTCTTTGAGTGCATGGAAGTCTTCCATGATGAAGGGGCCGTCGCAATCAGAAAATTCAAGCTGGAGAGACGAGATTTGTGGAATGTATTCCTGGAGCAGGCTTTGTGGCTCGCTCAAGTTAGAGAAACACTCCAGTGAGAGTGAGAGCGGATGTCCTCTGGATCGCTTGAGCCAGGAGTCGTAGAAGAAAGCTCTCTTGTGCCAGTCATCGTCCCCGACTAACTGCAGCGTGCACCATAAACTTGGCAAGCCCAAAGCAACCTCCCTCCATCGTCGACAAATTGTGGTCAACAACACGGGAGCCAGCGCTGGTGCGGGCGACAAGAGTCTGTCTTCTGGCAGACAGTAAAGGAAAATTTCCGAGAGTATTTCCGTTGGCAACCGCCAAATAGTCGATGAAAATTGCTTGGGAGAAGCGTTGGACTGAATAATATTGGTCTTTTCTTCGACGAGCTGCCGTTGACGATAGCTGACACCATTCCTGACGGTTTCAAGACCCGATTCCTCGCACAAAATCACGTCTGACTGTTGAAGTAGATGTTTGTTATTATATTCAGACGCCAATATCTCCAAAGCCAAGCACTTACAGTTCCCTGCATCTCACCAATGGTAGCTGAGACCAGTGGTAAATCGACGTTTGAGTAGGATATCTGCATGTTAACGCAAAGGAGGTTGAGATGTTGGAGATGGAAATGTGAAGGAGGAAATAATTCTACCGTTCCACCAACCATCGCGTCCCTATTTAAATTCAACACTCCGCAAACCACAGGGCCACAGCAACACACCTGGCTATTGTAGTTTTTCATAGCCGGCCTTAGGTAAAACACCAGCCAGTGGGCGCCTGTGGAACTGTGGAAAGGTGATCTCACTCAATGGCTTCGGCACAATCGACCGGCACCACTAGGCCATTCAAGACCTTTTATGTCTTCTTATCATGTACGCGACAACTGAAGGTCGTAGAACAGACATGTCAATGGAGCTGCCTTTGTTTTTCCCTATAGTGGTCTTGGTTTGACATTTGACAGACGTGAACTTGAAGGTACTCAAGAAAATCAGGTTTCAAGTCTCCTTGGCACCTCCGAGTCTTCACTGTGACATCCCTGTAATACCGTACGTACTGAAAGGCCAATTCCCTTTTCATCAACCATTCCTCCCCTACTACATTCTTAGTACCGACCCACCTGAACCCCAATACAGTCACGCTCTTGTTCAAGTTGAAAACAATATGTCGTCGTCAGTTTCCTTCTCAAATATACGAGCTAGTGCTAACAGTAACACGGACTGAACACCGACAAGCGAAACTGGAATAAGATGATTCAATGTCTGTCAGGAAGTTCATAGTGGCAGCGGGTTAACGTTGACACGTGGTTGTACCCTGTCATAGGGAGCTTCGAGCGCGCGTCACGTAGATTAAGGAGAGTAGTGATAAGCTGGGAGTACTAAGTGTTAATCGTGGTATGCCACGGTCACGCCTCGGCGTGGTAACTTATAACGTCACCTTTACCACGAGCCAGGCTGAAATAACTAACATATATATGTGCAGACAGCCAAACCACTAGTCAATTTCTTACTATTTGTTAGTACGCTGTAAAACATCGTAAGTGCCTCGCAGAGCGATCTTGTTATATGCAGGGAGTACTGTACAACTAAAATGCACACCCAAGTCACTTGGCTGATGGGTTATTACCATCAACGTCACAAGTTCGCTCCTTCCATTCGTTTTCGCTTCGACCGAGGCCGCACGATTTCTGTTAATCGAATCAAGTCTCGCTATCCTCATCCTATCCACGAGTCTGGATCATCTTGTTTATCATATACAATAGATACCATTAGTGCAAAAGATAGATGAACATGCCTCATCGACGTCGAATGACCTATTACAAACAAGGAGGTGATGATAACGAGCAGCGGAAGGCATTGAATGCGAGGATTCCAGCTCTAGAGGACTCGACCATTGAACTCTTTGACTTTGTTGGATGCAGGCAGACTGATGATAGACGACACACCCCGCGTTGAGGATACTCGATGAATCATTCAATTGACTCCGTGTCTGGAATAAACACTGACAAGGACCCCCAGGGCCCACTTCCAAAACTGCGTCTACCACAGTATGCATACCCGTGTGCCCCGCACTTGTATATAAATCGCGATATAAGCAAGGTTACATTGTGTTGGCTTCGGTCTTGACTGAAACGTCGTGCAACATTCGGTCAATCACTGACTTTGACTACAAGTTTTCCTGTAGTTTTTCCGCCTGTTAGGTCGATCTGCACCTGTCTAACCCCATCCACAGTGAATCGATATTCCTTGAAGACCTGTGGCTTTAAGGTACCGTCGGCGAGAAGATAAAAATAAACAGGGCATTTCCGTAGAAGAGCACTTCCGAGTCTGCTGGAGTGTATGTGTAATGATTCATGCTGGAATGCCTAAGCGTGAGCATATAAAATGAATAAGGACAGTTGTGAAGTGCACGAAGGTCGGAGAACCTTCACGTTCTTTTGCATGAACCTCGATAAGAGGGAATGGTGGAACGAAGCTGTGAAAATGTATCAGCTCGAACTTCTTGTGCTCAACTTTGATTGGCCAAAACACTCATTGTATCAACATACCTAGACCTGCGAAGAAGCATGTTTTTGCAAGGGTTGATTTTGAACTTTACTGAATGAAAGCCGAGACGGAGCTGCTACCAGTAGTTCATTATCTCTTCACCTATCATGGGGAGGCAGGAGAGATCAGTGATAACGCCTCATCAGAAACTTGAAGGACACACCGAGTTAATCTGGAACTTGGATCCAAGTGGTCAGTGAAAGGTCAGATGGTGGAGTGAGGTTGTGGGACATCGACACAGGCAAGATCATGGTGAAATGGACGGGACGTACTAATAGAGCGCAGTCTGTCTGCTGGAGTCGAGATGGTGGTCAAGTGATGAACGGATCCTCCGATAGGATTGCAAGGCAATAGACATGGAGAACGGAGAGACGATCATCAGATCATCAGTCCAATTGAGACAGGACACGATCAAGTGGAGACAGTCGTCTACTCACCAGACGCAACCATGTTTGCGACTGGTGGAGACGACCCGCGGCACTCAACCTCTGGAGTCCTTGACCAAAATCTGGGATGCGAAGCTTACAGGTGAGCTTGCCGCCAAATAGTATGATATTGATGTCCCCGACACCCAACGTACGCGTTAGTGGGAGGAGGTCTGAGGTCATGAGGATCTATCAAACACAAAAACATTCCAATTTCCCATCACGAAAAGATGTGCAAAGCTGTGCTCTTTTTTTCCACGTCTCAATACTATGTGCTCACACCGTCGGCCGCAAACTTGAAGCACTGAACTCTTTCAATGAGCATATCAATGATACATATAACTGATTGTTTAGTTCATGTTCCCCACCAGGTTTGGATTCAATGACAGCAACCACTCTCCAGTCATCTGATCTATCACTAATTTCTCTCGTTCCTCCACACCAGGCGGTATTTATCTTATGGCAGATGTACCTGGGTCCTGGACACTGGCGCACGTCGACATCTGACAGCGAGCCAGACCCGAGTTCTTGCGAGTCTGGACAGAAGAGTTTGATACACTAGTGTGCCCTTGGACTGTCGGGCGTTACGGAAACGAAGAGGATGCGGAATGCTGGGGGAATGAAACAGTCAAATAGGACTTCGATTTTTTGAAGCAAAGAGATGAAGGCAAAACAAGAGTAGATTACATACCCATGGTAGGTTTGGTAATACCTGTCCTATTGATTGTTATATATATTCTACAGGGTCATACTAATCTCTCTCTGGCGGACAATGGTAACTCAGCGACATAAAATGCAACGGGGACTGGTTTCTCTGGAGGTAAATATATGCTGTTTGACGTGCAGAGGTGGACATCATTTACGTGGCCATGTGGGACTAATATGACGTTCTAGCGCTCGACACCGATGGCCATTCGCTTCCGTCAGATTGATATATGCGCGTAACTGGTTTCGCCACTGAGTCATTACGCAGTGATCCCATGATACACGAGACATTTCCCGTCAAGGAGTTACAGGATTATTGGGCAACACGCTCCAGGTATGAAGGTAAGACAGCTCACGAGGAAGAGGCAGAGCAGTGGAAGGAAGCTCAATGAGAACATCACGATTGGGCTGCAAAAGAAAGAGGTGCAGCGGTAGACGAGGCTCCTCCCCCACCATATAGGCTGGAAGATGAGCAACACACAGAGTCCTCAAACGAGCGGTGCATTCAATGTCAGGCTATTCCGATCTGGAGCCACCAAGCCCACCCTCGGTTCTTCATCCAGTGCCTCAGCCTCTTTTATGTCCCCGCCGCCTGTTCCAGCCAGGAGTTCATCGCTGACCACTGGGTTCTCGCCCCCCAAGGTGGATGTGATCATGCGTATTCATCATTTCTATCACCGATCAAGCTCCTAACCAGTCGGCGCCGATGTGGACAGGCATTGGTGGAGAGGATGGCTTCAATCTTGCGGGGCGCGCACTAGACACGCTTGGAGGCATCACGAGGAGAGATGCGAAGAGTGAATCTTCTCCTGAACAAGTTCAAATGATATTAGCCTCGTAAGAACTCACAGGAACTCCTTGCTTCCACCTTTGTATGGTTACAGATGCTGCCTAGTTGAACTTTGATTGAATGACTATTGTACTCTTAAGCAGGCGTTACAAGTCATAGATGCACTCCATCGAGTGCAGTAAAAATGACTTCTGTCCAACGTTTCTTCGCTGGTTAGGTCAGTTACGGGGATAAAAGCTTTGATTGAGACTATGGTCACCGGAAATGGTCTGCTTACACCTTTTGCAATTGCAAGGTTAGCCAGAGTCTTCACACCCGACCAGGAATCACTCGAAACGCATCATATCACCTGGAGTTCGTATCACAGACAGGTTCTCACCATCGTGACGAACGCACCCAAGGGAACCGACCGCGTCCCCTTGAACTTGGCCCGCAATTAAATTGTCGCGGGTATACTAATTGTTCTGCCCATGCACGAGTGGTTCTTCAACAATTGGCAGGCTGAGCGCCCAGTTTGTTTTGTACGCCTGTCTTTTTGATTCGACTGGGGCATTTGCAGAGCAAGATGCTAAAAGTGTTTTGCAGTGTATAACTCTGTGCGAGGCGGGATTTACCTCTTGGATGGTTTGCGTTGATGGCTGTGGCATGTATCCACACAGCAACCAATTCCACAATCTTCTGCACTCGAAGGAGTGATGAGTGGGTTTATGGTCTCGCATTGTCACAAACCTGTCCATCGAAATACAACCGCACCCTGATGTTGTTCTAAGTATTTACACGGAAAGCATATGATGCATAGCAGGAAATATGACAGTACATGACTAATCAGAGAAACTGTGACGGACCCAAGAAGATATCTAGATCGCTGTACCAACAGCCACGCGAAGCGGAAGCCTCCTATATGCCATCTAACAGAAAATGTTTCCCAACAATGCTTCATCCATGCGGGGCTTGAATATCAGGCTGAAAGGCATCTGGTGTGATACCACTCCAGGGGTAAAAGCAGTGTCGTCAATAGGATTGCTAGGGTCTTCTGCCACCACGAAGGACCATAATATAAGAGCGATAGCGATGTATACTGATCTGAAACGTGGTGGGTGCAATGAGACAAACAATCATGAAGCCATGCTGTCGGCTCACCGTCTAGCAATATGCATCCCCGGGCATACACTAAAATATGTTCAGCGGAAACCTGGTGAAATAAGGAACTGATATCTACCGTCTTCCAAAACCAAAAGTGAACATCTTCATGTCCTCTTTGATTTCTCCGTCCAAACCGATCCATCGTTGTGGATTGAATTCTTCGGGATCGTGGAAGACGGAGGGGTCACGCCCGATGCTCCTGAAGAACGAAGTAAAAGATTGTAAAAATAAATCCTGGCGTGTACCTACCAATGACTTCCGGAGATAATGGCGCCAGTGGGGATGCACATGCCATTCTGTGATGATGATGAGTTCAAATTTGATTTGTGATTTTGTGCGATATACCCAAATTATATCTTTCGTTGCGCGGTGCGGGAATCCTGGAACTCCGATCAACCAAGTGACCTTAAGTGTGCCTCCCTGCCTCACCTGTTGGGTTGACAGGCCTCCATCGAAGAGCTTCTAAAATGAAGGCTCGAAGCTGAACAAGCTGTGACCAGTCCTCGAAAGTGGGAGCTGTGGCACAAGGTCAGTTAGTTTTGGACTACAACGAGATTTACATGCATACGAGTTTCTCTGCCAACCACAGCTTCCAGCTCCTCGTGTACGCGAGCTTGTGCGTGTGGGAAACGTGCAGCAGCCATTAACACCGTTGAAGTTGCGACAGCAGTCTAAAATTTTGCAAGTTAGGTTGAGCTGATGTGTATCCATTTCTTTGCTTACTGTATCGAAGCCTGCTCCGATGAGGGACCCGGAAAGATATGCTATCTCTGCCTCAGACAGTTTGTTGTCGTCGGGGTGTAGGAGGAGATCCTTTGTGACTGAATGGGGGGCAGTGTTGCTTTCCTGTTGTAGGTTATGTCGAAATTGATGTAATAACAGAAGAAGGGTCCGTACCACTTGACTTTTAACCCACTTCAGCTGGCCGGTTAACATATCGTATTCATCCTGTCCCCACTGTTTCAAATCTCGTCCATAACCAGGAATATATTTGAGGATTGGGTACTTGTCAACGAGGTACGCGCCTGGTGACATTGCGTACTGAACCCTTGGGATCATCTTTTGCAGCCGCACCAGATACGGGTCATCAAGTGTTGTAGGGGTTGTTTTCCCATAGACGACACGCATAATTACAGATGCTGCGAAACTATGCGCGGATGTCACCAGGTGAAGAGCGAGAATAGGGAATAGACGTACCGCTTGATATGCTGCTGGTGCAATTTGGGCTCGTGCAGTATGTCCAGAATGATCTCACGTGCATGTGCGAGCTGTATCGGCTCGTAAGTCTGAGCGGTCCTCACTTGGAGATGGCAGTGCGAAGATCTGATGTGATTGGGATGGTGAGACGGCCGAGTTTTAATTCAACTGACGTGTTGCCTACTTGCGAAATTTGCGGAGCCTCCCCCCAAGGCGAAGTTGGACGAATCGCATTCCTCTCCCGAGGATTTCACCGCCAGCGACCGAAGGAGGCCGGTCTGCAAGAAATGTGCCCTGCTTCTCCATGATGTCAATCGCTTCCTGTCAAAGATGTGAATGCCCCGATAGTAATATGCTACAAAATGCGGTCATACTTGGTGACGTCCGACGATGACTAGTACATTTTTTCCATCGTTGAGAGATATGACTGGTCCATATTCTGCTATCCACTGGGCAATCTTCCTGGGTGGACTGTCGTTGTGCCAATCAGTATGTGACGCTCATCGCATAACAACGACGTACTATCGCCCAAGAGGAGGCTCTGACGGACCAGGAGGTAGGGGCAGTTGACGGGATTTAGATGTGCAAGAACGGTAGGAATAGACGGTAACGCCTAGTAGACCAAATATGACTGCCCCAGTCTGCCAGTGCCATGGAGGGAACATATCAAGCGCGGAGGGAAGGGGTAAATAATGCAATCGATTCCAAGTCCAATTGTAGCGAATAAGAGCATGTTGAATGAATGATGCGCTCGAAATTCGGATCAGTTCAGTTACGTGCTATGTGTCACATGCATGCGTGCCAGTTGCTGGACTAGCCTGGTAGGGCCATATCTGTCTACAAAAGCGAGGAGGAGCCACATGCATGCACATTGTAGTATTTATAACAAGGAGTCAATAAACATCAGCTGCTTGAATTAATGTGCTACAGCGCTCTGTAGTGAATTACGTTTCCCTGATGAATCATACAACTCATTCAAGACGTACATATGAATCCTTAGGCCTTAGTGATAGAATCCCGAAGAATATTTGTTATGGAGGTTGCTCGAGCTCAGCGCTAGCGTTCAGGTATGATTTGATTTGCTATTTGGAAATGTGTACCCTAGTATTACGACTCCGAGCATACTTTTAACATGTCGGAAATTCTTTTACGGCATTCTGATGGATTAAAACGGCATAACGACACGGCCCAATTATAATTATAATGCCCGCTGGAAATTTCCGACAACGGCATACCTGTGCCACACTTTTGTTAACACAATCATTTACCTTGCTTCAATTGTAGGCCATTGCACATGTCCAAGACTCGTGTAGCATGGGCTAATCCTCGTCTGGTGAAAGATTAATGGTAAGGAGCCAGCAACTTGGTGTCAAAGGTGTCCTCCCTGTCATGCTGTACTATGTATTTGCCATTCATTTGCACACCCTCAATTCCATGACTCCGACTGAAATTTGAATCTACCGATAAAAGTTCTTGAGCCCCTTCCTCATTCAGCTAACTCCATTATGAGGCCCAAATAATCAAAGATAGCCCCATACCTGGTGACCTTGTCACTGTCAGTATCTGGTAGATTCATATCATTGAGTATTGTTAGTCAACAACTATTCGCTAAGAAACTCCCCAAGATGAGGCGGCATGGCAGGTAAGATACCGTCTTGACTGCTCTTGGAGCCATTGATACTAATGTGAGTGTGCAGTCCCCCACCTTACTATCCTAGGTGTGTAAGTCTCGGTAATAGGTTGATATTTGATGAGTGATGATAAGCCTTGCAGCTCGTCAGAGGCAGACCCTCTGATAGGGTCTCACAAGCCTTCACATCGTTATCAATCTCCCTGTGTCTATGCAGCACTCATCGCTATCTTGATTGTTGTAATCATGATTGTCATGTTCTCCATTAGCCTTTCAAATGATCTCTTAGATCCAGATGTCTGAGATCGCATTTGCAAAGACTGGGACATTGAACTTCGCCAACACCAGAAAGAAGTTCTCAAGCGCATTGACACTCAAAAATGCTGGTGTCTGGAAGATGATGACAGGATTCATATCTGTGAACAATGGGGAATGGAGGTGGAAAGGCACAATTGTGAAGTGGAGGAGAGCCTAAGGTGTGATGAAGAACACAAAGTTCATATCTGTGAACAATGGGAAAGAGAAGTGGAAGAACATGGTGAGGAAGTGAACAAGAGGTGGAGGCATGATGAAGAAGAAAGAACTCGCATTTGTGAACAATGGAGAAGAGAAGCGGATGAACACAAACATGAAGTGGAGGATGGATGGAAGCATGAAGAAGAAGAACACTTGAGATTGAATATGTTTTGGACCGACTTGACATCCCACATGTGCATGACATATGCCACTCAAGAGTACACTGCCCAACTGGTGAATGTTCCATCATACTGCAAACACTGCATGAAGGCTTGCATGGCCACACTGGTAGAAATCCACAGGGCTGAATACACACCTAAGTGGTGCAAGGATCATGTAGGTGTCTCTGCATTTCTTAGTAGTACAATCAGCTAATATTCTGCATCCAGGGTCCAAACGACGTAATAGGTCATTGGGAAGTCGACCAGCATGAACCAGATTGCGCGTTGTACTGGAGCTTGTACAAAGACCTTGTTTGTCGATCCTTCTTGTTGGCATATTTGCAACTCATTAATTGTCCCAGGGCTGTGTTTCACCTGGATCCAGTCAGCAAGTGGGTTTCTCAGATACAATATAGTGAGCAAAGTTGACAGTATGCAGTGTATTGAACATCACCTCAAGAACCTCCTGTCAGGAGGTGATTGGAAGGAGTTTTGTGCTACCACCCCTGCAAGCTTCCGTGGGATGCATTTTATGGGGGCAGAATTCTGCTTCTGAAAGGTTTGTTGCTCTGTTACATCAATTGTGGCATGATTTGTTGATTCCTTCCAGTACTATGGCACATACGGCCACTGGGTTTTTGGTGATGAGAGCTGCAAGTAGTCAAGTCACAATGATGCTGCAATATTGGATGAGGGTGATATTGTCTGGGAATTTTCATGCACTATTTTTTGCTGTGCCATTTGATGTACTTGTATCTAATATGCATCTCCAACCAGACATCAGCAAAACCCAAATGGGGTATGTAGCACTGCATATTGCTGTACAGTGACTCAGGGTTTGCAGGAAGGTCCCCCCATGCACAGCTGAGCCATAATGTGTGCTTTGGATGTGTCATGCTGTGCAGTTGGGTACAGTTGGCACAGTGCTGCACAATCCTGCACAACACTGTAGTGCTGTATGACGCTGTATAGCACAAACCTGCTATGCAGTGTCATACAGTGGTGTATGGCGTTCCATAGCACTCTTATTACACTACCAGTACTGCTAGTATAGTTTTTTTTTGTTCTCGCATGCTAGCAGCACACCCATATGAAAGCCAATGAAAATTCAATTCAAAATAAAACAGTGATAGGACTAGTAAGTAGTAGTATGTAAAACTACGCGAGATCAACATCCCACTCTGAGCTGTTGTCACCTTCATCAGCACCAAGGCCGGTGCCATGTACATTCCTAACTTGATGGTCAATAGACTGCTACTGCTGTGAAAAATCATGCTGAAACTTACATGCCTTCCAATGCCCAAGCTTTGAGCATTTGACAAAGTTTCAGCCTGTGATATGCATCTTTGTTTGTGCAGTTGAACAGCATAGAAATGCGATCATATGAAGTCTCCAAATCCTCAATAGGCGTCTGCTTGGCGCCATTTACCTGGTCATATTTACTGTAGATATAGATGACATTGCAAATCTTGGTAGGATAAACTCAGAATCAGTGAATGCACTTTAAGCATACTACAGGTGCACTCACAATAGTACCAACAAGGAAGAGCACTGCAGGCAGGATGGTCTTCTGAAACTTGGCAAAATGCTTTAGTGATTTGGATCCATTGTCATAAAATGACTTATGGAAAACGATGTGAACTGTGTTGTTTGCAAAGTTAGATGCATGACCCTACTAGATGTTTAGAATTGAATATCAAGGATGACAAAAAACGTACCTCAGAATCAGGCTGGCCACGCAAATACATTGCTTTCTTCAGCAAAGCGGTTGCCTTGAGTTTGATGCTATCAGTTGTATTCCTGTTGACGCTGATGGCTAGTTCATATACCATCAGAATGACAGTAAGTACAATCTGTTTGATCTTGCTGCAGAATGTCACAGCATTGTTAAAGACCTAGATCTGTGTGACTTAGTTAATGGAAATATATGTTGGTAAAAATCAGAGCACTCACCACAGTAGCCATCCCTATTTTGAACTCAGGGTAGTAGCCTTTGTATGTGTATCAGTGGGCAGTAACACTGTAGTTAGAGAAAAGAAAATACCTTTCTCAAGTTTGCGTTTCTGTTCTTGCCACTGTACAATCACTTCCATGATCACTTCACCACAGACTCTGGTACCACCAATGGATTCCTCTTTGTTGGGGAATGGGACTGAAGTAGCAATATAAAGCCTGAAATTAGCCTTCACGCAGTCAAGAAGTTTTTGCCAGAGTGATGGGTAGAACCCAACATTAGTTGCACCACGATTGGTATTAGCACCCTTCGCTTTCTTGGTGCAGTGGTGCCTCCCACTATCAATATCGACCTCATTGAGATCCTCCAAGTTGTCCTGCTGGTCAGAGTCATGGTCATCACTTGACTGGGAGTTTCTTGTGCAAGCATGCTTGGTCTTCAGGTGGTGGTTCCATACACTGCTCAAATACATAGGGGATGGAGAACATGGTCGATGATTTTTCATGTGGTGAGCCTGGAGGATATCATAATCAATATTTGGCTGAGAAACAGTGTCAATACATGGCAATAGTATGGGTGAGTACTTATGACTATGGGAGTGTTCAAAAGACTCAGAACTTGTTTGTTGGTACTCTGTAGACCCAATCACTTTGGCACCATCTTGCTAGTGGTGTGGTGTGACGATCATATTCCCGCTAGGCTTGCAATGGCCATCTTTTGATATAGGTGATGGAAAGCTACAAAACCATCGACCGCTTTTCCCACACTCAACCCACTCCGGACACATATTCCCGCGCTCTGTGGACCTGCGCATTCACTCCCACACTGCGCACATACCTGTGGTCGATTTCCTGTGCCTTCAGACTACCTTACAAATGTCCTGCATCAGTCCATTGTCCATCCTACCTCATTGGTACATATTTTGCATTGCCTCATGTGTTGTAACAAGTGTTGCAGCCTTATTACATGTCTTTACATATTCCTACTGCCTGTCTGTCCTGTCCTTTCCATTTCCAAGAGGGTTTAGCTAGTATAAAGTGCCTAGAGTGAATACTTCATATTTACTTCCCTTCTGCAGTATTTCCTTCCCTTAGGTTTTACTTAGGAGCAGTCACCATTAGTGCGCGCTTTTAGCCCCTATTGGTTACCTTATACCTGGACACCTTGTCTTGACTTTCCCTACCTGTGCAATCAATACCCTTGCCCTCACTTGTTACCTGTGCCATTCCTTAAAAACTTCCCTACCCCTTACCTTAACATCTCGCACTCCTGCATTGACTGCTCATCAACCGCACTTCTGCATTCCTGCACTCTACATACCTGCGCACTTGTTCCCGCACTCTGCGCACTTTCGGGTCTTTAGTATCATCGGCCATTCTCAGTAGCAATTCCCTTTAGGGTCAAACATTCTTGCTTGCAAGTGTAGCAGCTAGGCAGAGCATTGACCTACAACAATATTTTTGGTTAGGCACTTTAACAAGTGTCTAGCCATTGTTGTGTTTGCACAGCGGTTATTCTGATAATGATGGTCCATGCCAGCCACTCCTGTGCCATCCTCATCCTCATCCTGTGAATACATGCTATGATCAGGTGCTTGCATAGGGTGTCTTACTTGCTTGCTGCTAGGATAGGTTTGATCACCATGATGTGGGGGGTGCATGATGGTGTTACTCCCATACAAATCCTCCTTGTGCTCCATAATCTCATCAGCATCATCATCTTGCACAAAATCTCCACCCTCAAGCTCATTATCAACACCATCATCTTCTGCAAAATCTCTGCCCTCCTCAATGTCCTCTTCAACATCATCTTCATCCTCTTCAACGTCTGCCTCTTCATGACCTTTGTCAGTTCCAATGATGGACATATTTTGACTGACAGGAACTGAAAGCAGGAGGAGTACAAGTAACGGTATGGTGGGGTGTTGTTAAGAACCATGTTGCTCAAGGGGGAGAGAGACTGACTCAGAGGGGCTTGGCCTCAGCTTGTACGCTGTGCCCCTTACCTGAGTATGTGCCCTTCATTTCGTATGAGGTCTGATGATGGTCCAATGAAGTCCAGAGGACTTCCAGAGGCTGGCTACTCTGCTGGAGAGCACTAGAGGACTTCCGGAGGAGCACAGGAGAGTTCCCACTGCAAGGTAATACTTCTACAGGAAACAGGATGGAAGGACAGGAGAACAGGAGGACAGGAGGACAGGAGGACAGGAGGACAGGAGGACAGGAGGACAGGAGGGCAGGAGGGCAGGATGATGGAGGACAGAAGGACAGGATGTCCAAAGGTACAGAGGGCAGGATGTCTGAGGGTTAGGAGGATGGAACGTCCGAAGGACAGGATGCCCAGAGGTATGAGGGACAGGAGGTCTGGAAGTCCAGAAGGAATAGGGGCTACATCAGACAAAGTCCGATGTAGAAGCAAACAGAGGTAGACTACTCTAAGGTAGAGTCAGAGAGACAGGGATTGGACCTAAGTCTGGAAAGAGGGAAAGTGCCAGAAAGGCAGAGCTCCGGCCTAGGGAATCAATCCCTAGGCCTGATGGGTAGGACAGGCTTAGGTGGACCAAAGTCCGAGAGAGGATTGGGCAACTCTAAGTTGATATTCAAACTAAGGAACTACAGGAGTATCTACAGGGGTTATATACTGAACAATATCTGAGGGGATCAGTAAGCAAAGGAGCAAGGCTATGTACAAGCATGTGGAAACACATTAGTAAGTAAGTCGGAACATAAGTAAATGAACTCGGAGATGAGGACTCATACAAGGATCAATAAGTAAGACGGAACAAGAGGTAACCGAAAGCCAGAAGGCAGAGAATGCCTAAATGGGGATAGGCGCAGGATATCGGACAGAGGGTGGGAATAGGTCCGGAGTTAATATCCAGAGGTCTGGAGATCTGGGGATCCAGAAGACAAGGTGGATACAGGACTGGAATATGAGAAGGTGGATATAGTCTGGAATCTGAGACGAGGTGAAGTCTGGATGTCTTGCTGGATGGAGTGCACATAGGGTGGACAGGATAGGGTTGTACAGATCAGGCTAGCAGTGAGGATCCGATGGTCCAGAGCTCAGGGGTAAATCAGGAGCGTAGTTGATCCTGCTGAGGTGTGGAGCACACAGTGGATGGGGATATGGGAATGAGCTGGATATGAAGTGGGGTCCGGATGTAGGCTCGGAAGGCGTGGGAATATGATGGAACGTGTGTCCAGATTGTGGGATATGACAGGTGTCATGGTTGCTGATGGCTCCCACTGAACAGCAGTATTGAGAATAGGAATAGATGAGCCTGAGCATTGGTTGATGACAGAATGAGAAACACTACAAGAAACAATATGAGCACCAGCAGGATGCTGGACAGCTGGAATTCTACTTGCATCAGCCTGATGGTCACAAGGAGTGCCATAAGAGGCACTGTGAGAGACACTTCAAGAAGCACCATGAGAAGCACCATGCCGAGAAGCACCACAAGAAATACCATGAGAGACACTGTGAGAAGCACCTTGAGAGGTACCACAATCATTGACATTGGGCTGGGCAGGAGATATCATTAAATCAGGTTGAGGATCCATATGGTGGGACTGGAGTGGTTTGGAACCAACATATGTTGAGGGAACTGGATGATCCTGCAAACTGAACCTTCCTGTATCCGTGACATGTAGAGCAGGTGTGGGACCTGCAGCACTAGGGTCTGACTCAGATGCCTCCTGCTAAATACCAAATGTTAGTACTGAGATAGTCAAGCCTAAGACTTGATGGTACTGCCATGATGATGCAGTTTCAGGAATGAACATCAACCAAGGAGGTACTTACTATTGCACTCAAGTTTCTCCAAGTCTCAAGCTGCCAAGGAGCTTTCCCTCCCCTCTTCTTCTTTGCCACTGGAGCCATCACATTTTCAGGTTCATCCAATGGGATGATGACATTCTGAACCTTCAATTTTCCAGGTGCTCTGGCCAGAGTCTGAAGAGCATTTCCTATCTTCTCTAGCTGAGAATTCCTTCCTCCAGCACCAGCACCAGGTTGGTTGGAACAACAATGGGGAGGTTGGACCAACGTCACTGGTTCATTGTCGATGTCTGATTCAATGACTTGAAATGATGGGACTCTGACTTGTTACCCCCTCTGTTGGCCCATGGTAAGCACACAACTAGTAGGCAAGTGATGGAGAAAATGAACCTTCAAAATCAGGTTAAATAATAGTTATAGCATCCATGGGTAGGTACCAGCATGGTGCTTAATTACTAAGTGGTAGTACTATCCAAGTCCAAATTGTACCAGCACATTCATGAGTTACATACTAGTCATACTAGTAGTACTACAGTAGCAAAGTCCGGCACTGTGACATACTAGTACCTCTGTCCTGACTCCCTCCTCAATCTCAATGACAGTGAACTGCCATAACTGTTTGAAAGAGTTTAAGAGCACTTGGGCTGTTTCACAACACCTGAGCCAGCCCCTTACATCCTGTCTATGATGGGTTGATCAGCTTGAGGATGCAGTGCAAATCTTGCAAGACTCACAGTTGGTGGACCAGCACACAACTCCCAGCCCATCTGAGTCATCATCCAACCCTCATCATTCCAGAACACCAAGCCCTTTTCAAGTTCAAGCTGATAGTGAGGAAATGGCGTATGACATGAATGACTCAGGCTATTTCTACAGTGATGAGGGAGGTGTGGTGGGCTTGGAGAGTGACCTGCTAGGGCCAGTTGAAGAGCCTTTGGGCAGCCAAGCTTCGGAGAAGCCTTACATCGAGTGCTTCAGGAATGCTGCAAAAGTGTATCAGTGTGGCCAGACCTTTTGGGACAGGTTTAATATGGATCCCTATTCAGCATATCACAAGGACAACCTTTACTATCCATTCACATCCCATCAGGACTGGGAGCTCAGCAGCTTTCTCCTGTGCTTGTCATTAAGTATGGCCACCATAGATGAGTTCCTGGAGCTCAAACTAGTATGTCTTAAGTCAGCTGGCATGTTACCATCACAAGTGCTGATTTCTCCGCAGATTAAAGCATTGTCTCTCTCCTTTCGTACAGCCAGGGAGTTGTGTGGTTGTGCTGAGCTGCTACCTCCTGTTCTGAAGTGGCAGTACTGCATAGTCTCAACCACTCACCCAACAAAACAGCCTCTATATTTTTACTGGCATGATCCATTGGATTGCATCAAATCATTTTTTAGCCACCCATTCTTTGCTAAAGAAATAGATGTCATGCCACAACATGTATATCACACAGTGGAATGTACATCACAAATTTACAATGAATGGCTGATGGGTGACACAGTGTGGTCGATGCAGGTAATACATACCTAACTATCAATGGTTTCCAACTTGCTAACTCTCAGATCTCATCATAGTCACAACTTCCAGATGGTGCAACATTGTTGGGCGTCATACTGTCCTCTGATAAGACCAACATCACCAACATGACTGGTGGACATGTTGCTCACCTGCTCCTGATCAGCCTTGCCAATATCAAGATGGCAACTCAAAACAAGGCATCCTCACATGCTTTCCTCCTGACAGTGCTGCTTCCAATCGCTGAATTTCTGCATCCAGTGAAATGGATGCAGAGTGTTCTTGAAGCCCACTTAGTCCACCAGTGTCTAGATATTGTGCTAGAGCTGCTCAAGCAAGCTGCACGCATCAGCCAGATGATGTCAGACCCACTTGGGAACCTCAGATACTGTTTCACTCCCTTAGCTTCATACATTGTTGATACACCTGAGGCATGCATGCTCGCACGTGTCTGAGGAAAGACCTCACTGATCACCATGGCAATGTATGAAACTTCAGAGATGCCTTCCAACACTTCCCTCAAACAGCTAAAATGACTCTTGACCAGCTTTTGAGCATTAGTTGTGACCCCCTCAATGTCAAAGGTTACTTTGATGCATGCACTCCATTCCACCTGAGTGGTGTAGCCCAGCCATTCTGGCATGATTGGTCACTTGCAGATCTGCATGTATTTTTCACTCCTGAACCCCTGCATCACTGGCATCATGAGTTCTATGATCACGATGTTAAGTGGTGTCTCGCAGCTGTTGGTGAACAGGAACTAGACTTTTGCTTCTCTGTTTTGCAACCACTCACAACATTCTGATACTTCAAGGATGGCATTTCCAAGCTTAAACAAGTAACTGGAAGAGCCCAACATGATATGCAATGCTATATTGTTGCTCTCATTGCCGATACAGCCCCCCATAGTGTTGTGATAGCTGTTCATGTGCTGATGGACTTTCACTACATATCACAAGTGACAATGATTGATGAAGCACATTGTCAAAAGATTCTTGGTGCCCTCGAGGAATTTCATGAACACAAACAAGAAATCATTGCGTGCGGTGCACATCAAGGTGTGAAGAGCAAACAAGTCCTCAATAACTGGCATATACCCAAATTGGAGTTGATGCAGAGTGTCAAGCCCAGCATACATCAAGTTGGCTCTCTCTTGCAGTGGTCTGCCAACACCACAGAGCACACTCATATCACCCTAATCAAGGATCCTGCAGATTCCTCCAACAACATCAACTATGATGCTCAAATATGCTGGTTTCTTGATCGCTGAGAGAAGTGTCAAAACTTCCAGATTGCAACATCAATAATCACTTGTTCACAATCACAGTCACAAGCTTCTACTTCTTGAATGATGGACACTGGTTTGGAACATCATGACAAGTCACATGACGAAGATCCACATGCTGACAAATCAGACTTGCAGACAGGTTTGGATGATCTCTGGGGGCCGAAGTGTGTAGTGACCAATTTCTTCAAGAAGGCAGAGCAACTCTGTTCAGATATTGAAGTAGCCAGACCTCTCCACACATTTGTGGTCAGTGCAGCAGCAATCCACCTGAATTTCAATCCTTCAATACGACACATACCAGTCAATGTCATCACTGAAAAATTCTCTCTACCTGACTTGCAGGGAGCACTCACTGACTATATTCAATGAGAGGGTATGGCTTTGAATGTCCACTCGCTGAGGGGACAATGCTAAGCATTGCCTGATGCACCTCTTCCTTTTAATGACCTTATGGTCTGGTTTAAAGTATGCATGCAGCAGGCATCATACCACAGCCCATCAATCACTCCTCCTGCTCTCACAGTCAACGCATATCCTCCAAGCACAACTTGGAAGTATGGGCACTATGATGCTGCTATTTTCACTGTTGATGACACTGGACGTGAACAATGGCCTACTAGTGGGCTTAAAGGTATGTTTCTCAGATGTCCATTTGTATACTGTGTCCGAGTTTGACATCCGAGCAACTTGCAGGCCATGATGTTGTTGAGGTGCACCTTATCATGCAACCGCTTCCTCCACAAGAAAAACCTGGTAGTGCCCCTTGGGTCACATGTTTCCTTACTTATGTTCAGCACCTAGACATTATGCCTCAGCATCATGGAAGCTTGCTGGAATGCACAACACAGATGCATGTTTTAAAACATGCAATGCAATCAGCAGGGACTCCCTTCAGTGATATCCTCCCACTCAATCAACTTCGTTCTTTTGCTCAAATTATCCCCCACTTTGGTCATGTTGCTGATTCTCGTTTAACAGCACAAAATAGTGCTCACTTTGCTCAGACATTCTTCCTAAATAAGTACATCAACAAAGACTTCTACTGTGCTATCTCAAACTAGTAGTCTTTTGCATTATGATTCAATTGTATGGAAAAAGTACTAGGTTGGAGATGATAGTTGATATCAATGATTGAAGCACTCTGCACTCAATGTATGATACTATGTGTCACTGTAAGACACTGCACAATCCTATACTGTACAAGGACCTGCTGTATAGCACTACCTTAGACATGTGGCTCTCAGCTGACTAATAAACTCCAGTCAATGGAGATGATTGACAGGCCACCCCACTGGTTGTCAGCATCATACCACCTCTCTCAATGCCTGTCACCAGCAATCTCACTGGCATGGCTCTTCCAGCTCTTTATTCTTGGCTCTCAAAATCACCCTCAAGGAATTTGATCCTCCCTCCTCAATGTGTACAACTTGAGAAAATCTCCTGTTCCTTGTATAATCATGTTGCAATGGAAACAGAACTTCAAGACAAGCAAATTCTTGAAGACCTCAAGACAACAATAAAGACAAGACTCGGGGTTCAATTTACAGACTTGGATAATCCCGATTCTTTAAGCTTAGGTTAGTATTTTCTCAGATCACTTACTACACCTTCAAATCTTCTTCCTGACCATTCATCAACACAAACTTAAAGACCACTGCACCATTGTCCTTGAAGCACTCCAACATCCTCAACCTCATACAATTGTATGCCAATCTATGCATTCAGTATCGTAGATTAATATTTACCATTATCTGAGGTCATCACCAATATCACGCCTGCAGAGTACATGACAGTGGTAGCATTTACATTGGAAGAGCAAGATTTTGAAGTCAGAGCAAAGTAAATGCCAGAGTAGTAGTTGAGTCATACACATACACTGACCACATCTCATTTCTTACTACAGATTTGTCTACTTCACGGATACTCAAGATATTTACATCATGCCCCCACTTCCTGTCCATGAACAACCAGCTGTGCACCTTGCAAAGGCCCTGAACAAGTTCATGGAAGCCATCCCTTATGACAAGCTCCTGATCAATACCACTATGCACCTCAATTACCGCATCCAAAACAAGGATTTGATGAATATACCAGATCTACACCTTACCATCACAGCACAACCCCCAGAGGATATAGAGTCAGATGAGATGGTGGTAGTGAAGCCAGTGTCCAAATGGGTTGGAGAATGCGGGCTTTCCTCATATACCAACTGCATGGTGTGAAAGCTAAGCAACACATGTGATGGTCATCAAGACATTGATTACACTTTCATCATATCCTTCAAAGAGCGAATTAAATGGCATCAACCAAAAGAAGAGGACACTGCTATTCAACAACTTCACTCAGCTCCCACATTAGATTACAAAGACTTCATTCCATCCCACATCAAGAAGAGCTTGAGGTTTGGACCAGTGGAGATCAAGTCTCACACCTGGATTGATATCAGCAAGGTCTGCTACAGCATATACAAACATGGCACAGACAGTCACTTCAATTTCAACAACAAGGATGCTTCTACATTCACAGAGGGGGTACATATGTGTTCACCTTATTAGTATCTACTAATTTTTGGCCTCAACTCGCCCCCCACAGACCCTTTACCCCATGTTGCAGATGGGTGATGTTGAATGCATGTTGGATAACGCCGCAGAGAGTTTGAAGGGTTACATTGTATCATTGATGGAGGGTATGGGTCTTGAGGAGAGTGCAGTTTAGAGTGTGCATGATTCCCATCCCATATTCAAGCCCTTTTGGGGGGCAGCCCTCAACTCTATTTCCTCCATGATCTACCTTACAGCATATTGCTACTACTTGGACTGGTGCTACCACAAATACGACAAACACAAGACAATGCACGTTGCCATTCAACAACCCTCAAGCTCCAAGTCTACCAGTACCAGACCAACCAATTCTTCATCCATTATGACAACTTCTTCCTCATCTGATCCCACAACTTGCCCCTTGTCTGGCACAATGCCAGCCTCTTCATCTACTGGGTTATTGCTCAACGTGCAGCCTGAGCACTCAGCAAAGAAGTCAAAGGTTCAGCTGGAAGGTGAAGGGTCTACTGGGGAGAAACAGAAGGAGGAGGTGAAGGTGCAGGTGAATGGGAGTGGGAGTGTGAAGTGGAAGGGGAAGGGTCATCAGTAGTGGGCTCTTGCTGTGTCAATCTTCAATGGTAAGTGTCCATTGTTTGACTCAACTTCCTCTTAACACTGACAATTTACAATCAGTAGTACTTCAAATCTTCACTTGTTCCAAGTCTATCACACCAGCACTCCAAGTTTTTAAATTTGCTGGTCTACTACTACTAGTTTGTTGCATTTCTTTTGTACTTTCACTGCCCACTACTACTATGGATGTTTCTCACTGTACTGTGCACTAGTTAGCCTATGTAGGTACTATGAGATTCACATATAATTTGTCACATCACGTTCGACTACTCACTCTCGGTGTGACCCAGGAAAATTGAACTCCAAACAGCATAACTTCAATGGCCTCCAGTGCCCAACCTGCAACAGACATGTCTCTTGAAGGGATTTCACCTGACTGAAAATGCTTGCATGAGCCCCAGACCAATCTAATAACACAAGCAATTCATGCTGGAACATGTGCACCAGTACCACCAAAACCAATAGGACCTTCAAGTTTTTCTGCAGTCTCCAGCTCAAGCACAGAAGGACCAGTCATACACAACACACCATCCATTCATCACACTCCATCCAAGTTGTCCATCTCTGAGGCTCAACATATGTCCACTGTACTAGTACCTACTGCTATGCAAGGCGTTTTGCATTCTAACTTGAAGCACATTGGAATGCCTAGGGCCATTGGTGCTCTACAAAACCAATCCCCTGCATTATTGCACCACTTGACCACACTGAATGTTGCACATTCTACTATCAGGTTGAACGTGAACAAAGTTCCATCACCTGTATTCTCAATAAAAACAGAGTCAGACTCAAACTGCAAAGACAGCAACAATGTAAGTTCAACAGCATCCATACACACTATCTAGTACTAAATGACAATATTGCCCAGGAATCTACTCACACCATTGACACCCAGGCCCAGTCTAGCAAGGAACACAAGGCCTAGCTCATTTTAAACACGACCCAAGCACAGTGAGATGATTGCTTTGCAGAGAAGACACTCACAGATTGTGTTGTCCAGCAGAATATAGCACTTGGGCTCCTCTACCAGTTTGAGGCTACAGAAGCTGAGAGGAAGTTGGAGGATGCTCATATCGACATTGGTTGTGTATATCATTCAGTCCACAAAATCAGCATCACATTGCTCAAGGACTTTACTACTACTAGTAGTAAGCCTCAAAAACGTCATCACAAATCTGCTAGTCAGGTTGATGGTGATACACTCAGCCCAGAAGTAGACTTGGCTCTGCCACTGCCTGGCCACTGGCAGGTAATTGTATTCTGTTAAATTTGTTCAACCACTCCTATTGACATATTTTCTATGAAATAGATACAGGATCTGCAAGTGCGACCCAGAGCTGAGTAGCGCCCAATTCCTTGACCTGTTATTCAAACTAGTAGATACTCTTCTGGCACAACATATACAGTGGCTCAAAAAACTGTCCACATGTTTTTGCATTTTTTACTATTTACAATATTGTGTGAGAATACATAAAGACCTCAGTGACATGCTAATACCATATTGTAGTGCTGCTTCAGGGCTTTGGATTGAGCACCACATCATGAGAATCAGAGGAGATATGGTGGAGATACAAGGCTTACAAAATCATGACTCATGCGGACAGTTTTTTGAGCACATATTAAAACTATATAAATCATCATTTATGACACCATAACAATCATGCCACCATTAAATAAATTATAAAGTGGTGTCATTATATCATTTTAAAACCATATCTAACTATACAAACCAAAAATTTCCATATGTCATAGTTATATTCACCATGAAAGCCACCCCCCTGCTCAAAGGGATAATATCCTCTCTCTTTCCTATTCTGGCCTCTCTGCTTGTCAAATTTCCTCTAGAACTGGAGTATCCAAGTCCACTGTGGCCAAGTTCATCAAAGAAAGTCACACAGACAAGGAAAACTTCTGTGAAGGGCGTCCATCCAAGCTCACCTCTACTGATAGGAGGGCTATTATTCAACATATCACTACAGGAAAGGCTGATAATGCTGTCCAGGTCACCTATTACATCAATTCCACCATCACATTCCCTGTCTCTTCACACACTGTGAGAAACATTCTCAAGACAGCTCATCTCAGGTCAGTAACAAGGAAGAAAAGGCTCTCCTCTCTATCACACATATGCAGAGATGATTAACCTTTGCCTTAGCCCATCAGAATAGTTTATCTTCATATTGTACAAACTAGGATAGTTCTAACGACAGATGACTTGATAAGAGTCAAGACCTCTGCCAAGATTCTATGCAAGATGATAAGTCAAATGTTTGGTGTAAGCTAAGTCAGAAGGAGTGCTTCTAACTTAAAGTACAATTCAGATGACAAGAGATTGGAGGTCTCAAGTGAAGGATGTTTCAGGTAAAACCTAGTAAGATTAAAGTGAAGAACTACAAGATACATCATCGACTATATATAGTAAACACAGGTGGTGGCAAGGTATATATGTGAAACAAGAAGGGTGCTAGTCCTCTCTGCATATGTGTGATAGAGAGGAGAGCCTTTTCTTCCTTGTTACTGACCTGAGATGAGCTGTCTTGAGAATGTTTCTCACAGTGTGTGAAGAGGCAGGGAATGTGATGGTGGAATTGATGTAATAGGTGACCTGGACAGCATTATCAGCCTTTCCTGTAGTGATATGTTGAATAATAGCCCTCCTATCAGTAGAGGTGAGCTTGGATGGACGCCCTTCACAGAAGTTTTCCTTGTCTGTGTGACTTTCTTTGATGAACTTGGCCACAGTGGACTTGGATACTCCAGTTCTAGAGGAAATTTGACAAGCAGAGAGGCCAGAATAGGAAAGAGAGAGGATATTATCCCTTTGAGCAGGGGGGTGGCTTTCATGGTGAATATAACTATGACATATGGAAATTTTTGGTTTGTATAGTTAGATATGGTTTTAAAATGATATAATGACACCACTTTATAATTTATTTAATGGTGGCATGATTGTTATGGTGTCATAAATGATGATTTATATAGTTTTAATATGTGCTCAAAAAACTGTCCGCATGAGTCATGATTTTGTAAGCCTTGTATCTCCACCATATCTCCTCTGATTCTCATGATGTGGTGCTCAATCCAAAGCCCTGAAGCAGCACTACAATATGGTATTAGCATGTCACTGAGGTCTTTATGTATTCTCACACAATATTGTAAATAGTAAAAAATGCAAAAACATGTGGACAGTTTTTTGAGCCACTGTATACTGGCAGTAATACGAGTACTATACTGTTTGACTTGATAGTATCCCAGATCTACTGTATTAGCAGTCACAGTACATACTTTCAATGAATCAATGTTTGTTTCAAGTTGTTCTTTCAAGTTGTTCAAAGTCAAGTAAACTTGAAGAGCTGGAACTACTAGTACTACTGGGGTCATTCGCTGTAGCGCGCTGTGTGGTGCTATGTCGCGCTGCAGAAGTCTACTTTACGGACAGTTATGTCATTGTGCACTGCACGTGGTCGCTACACATCACTACAGGTGCAACTGCTGTAAGATGCTGTAAGATGCTGTAAGCTGCTACGGTAGCTGTGCTAAATTTAGTGTTTTGCTGATGGATGGCGCATCTCTCCGGTTTCCAGGGTGAGTCTTTTTCGTGAACAATTTCGGTGACGGAAATAGCACGACGGTGTCTAATTTTTCAGTCCGAGCACCAGTGTAGTTAGTTTCCTTTGGTTTGCAAGCTTTGGTTGCTTGAGCTGTCAGCCTGATTGTTGGAAAATGGGCCCAATACAACTATTCCACAGATGCCTGTGATCGTGCACCCGTCTGAAGAAGCTCCCGGCGCTGTTGAACCCACGAGCGCCATGCGTTCAAACCAAGCCAGCACTGGTTGTTTCTTTCCGGCGAGTAACTGAGCGTATTAATATTGTTCTTTCAGAAACCTGTGTGCTCCCGAGTGGTGTGCGGAGAGGAAACAAAAGAAGCTCAAATTACTTACGGAGGAATTCAAGATGTATTGGAACGAGCTGAAGGATTTCCCGGATCAATTGAACTATGTTATTGTAATTATCATCCAGTGGGTCGGCTGTGTCGATGTCAACGAGCGGAAAGGGCCAGTAGATGTGTACAACTTTCTTTCAATTCTATGACATGTGCACTTGGCATATCACCGCAACTCTGTTTTTCTGCTCTGTTTCTGAAATCGTCTCTCTGGCAGACCAAGCAGTGTAAATATCGAGCTGCATGAGCGTCCCTCAGAAGCAGTTGACGTTCCACATTGCAAGGGCAAACGCGTATATCACTTTATCCTTTTCGGATCGATGTTCACCTCTCCTCATGGTCATCTATCCGTCTAATTTACAGCGATCTCTTCCGTCATTTGACATCCCACCATGTTATATTATCCCTCGAGTATATACAATGGAGGTAAAACTTCGTTTATTGCATACTTTATATCCCCGCGTGCTATGCGCACTATACTAACTTGAACCGGAAGTCACGCGAATTGCTTCAGCGGAACCATCCATTTTGTCCTGTAATAATAGTATGGTAGATATACTAACATAGATTCGGAATCATTTCACTCACATCAGAGATTCTGGAACTTCGAAGGTTAGGGGTCTCCAACTGGGTTGCCATTGCTCGGATTATATCCAAGGTCAGGGTCTGATTTACCTCCGGCCTCTAGTTTATTTCCCCTGTGAATGCACGTCTGTCCGACTCCTCGAACTTAAGGCGTCGACCTCTACTATCGTAACGCATCTGGGCGCTAAAACTGTCGGGAATGAAGCGAATGGGACTTTCGAATTATCAAATTCGCTGTGAATCTTGGTTGAGGCGAAACCACCGGGTCTGTGTACGAGGGCAATATCACATCCTTGCAAAATCCGTTCCTTCAATACACAACTTAATAGCATTACACTCTCACGAATTACTTCCGTCTTGACTCCCAATCATACAACATCCCATCAATCGTTGACTTTGACTACAAGTTTGCCTGTAGATTTTCCACTTGTCAGGTCGATTTGTGCCTGTTTGACCCCCTCCGTGGTGAATGGATATTCCTTGAAGACCTGTGTCTTCAGGGTGCCATTGGCAAGAAGGGAGAACAATGCATTTCCGTAGTGGAGCGCTTCTGCTGGAGTATATGTATAGTTGTTCATACTAGGATATCTAACCGTTAGCATAAAATTGAATGATGCAGTGGTCAAACGCACGTAGGCCGGAGAAGCTTCACGTTTTTTTGCACGAGTTTGATGGAGCGAATGGTGGAACGGGTCCCGAAGCATTACCCACTGACACAAGGGTACCTTTCCGCCTGATCATTACGAGGTCGGACTCGAACCTGCGCCAAAGTTCAAGTCAACCCAAGTGAGAGAAGCCACAGGTTCGATTCTTACGTGTCTTTACCCACACCATCAAAGATTGCATGAACACCTCCCCATTTGTGAGTTCCAGGACACGTGCGACCGTGTCCTCGCTCTTATACAAGATCACATGGTCAGTCCCGTTAGCTTTCGCAAGGGCAAGCTTTTTCTGGCGTCGAGGTCGTGCCTATCACAGTCGCTCCTCGCGACTTGGCCAGTTGGGTCATGAGCAGTCCAAGACCACCTGCCACGGTGTGAATGAGGATGATGTCACCCTTTTGCACGTTGTATGATTCTTCCATGAAGGAAATGGCCGTCAACCCTTGCACGAGGGCTGAGACAGCCGTCAATGTCGACACCGACTCCGGAATCACGTATACCGTTTTCCAAGTGCAGAAACGTATTCCGCATGCGAACCCGGTAATCCTGTAGGCTCGTGAGTCATTGCAAAGAAGTGTATAGACAGCACACCGTAACGACTGCAAACGCGGGGAACCTTCCTTGTACCCACGCTTCTTGTAATCCGGGTCGTTCAAGACGGACTCGTCTGTAGGAGTGCAACGACTACACCGCTGGCTTCCTTTCCCATCACGAATGGGAAATCCAGAGACTGGTATAATCCTTCTGTTGCACAATTAACTGCGCTCCTCGAGATGCTTGGGGCATTTGGACACTTGCCTGTAGTACGTGTCGATGAAATTGACACGAGATATTGGACCTACTCAGCGTAGCACATCTTAAGTGTTAACACTCGCATAGGAAATTGGTAATGATTCTACCTTTACGACCAGATGACTCGGGGCTGCTTTTGAGAATGGGATTTCGCGTTTCTCAATGACCTCGGGTCCCCCCGTCTTTGAGATCGTGATGGCTTGAGCTGTTGACGGATAGGACATTCTGGGGGTTGCAACGGAAAACTGGCGAGCGAGAGTGGAAAGTCTGCGAATTAAACTTATCATGCACCTGGTCAGAGGATGTGATACAAAGCGAGCAGATAAGAGTCCCCCTCATGATATCATCAGCACAATTAGTCAGCGTCTTGCAATTGCGATATTTTGGTCATGAGACACATGGAAATGCGGAACACCGTAGGTGCTCGACAATTCAACCGAGAGAAAGTTGAGTACAAGAGGAGAGAGGATTGAAGAAATCACATAATTTTAGTCTATTGACGCCGCGGGTGTTGGATTTAGGCGGACGACATCCGGCGGCAAATACATTTGCGGTAAACTAATAAGCATGTACGACGTAACTGATGGATATTGCAGCTTGCTGGTGTATCATGCATTCTAAAGAGCTGCCACGTAGTGGTAGAGAAAAGATTGAAGGCTATACTGAATGAACGCATGATCAAGAAGCACCTCTGGCTTCAAACGCTTGGTTTAAGATATCGTAAATGAGATGAATTGTGTTCATCTCTCTGGACCATCCCAGGTCTTTGCTCTCTTAAGCTATCAATCTCCTGTGCTATCAGGTCTTCTTGAAGTTCCTTTGGTAAGGTACCCAGCGGAGAAACAGGCAAAGGGGACAACGGCTGTAGGGGAGGTGTCAAGGTATTTGAGAGCGGGTTGCCACTCAAAAGATGGTATACGCGTAACAGTGACGACATCGCAATGAATGATCCAGTCCGCCCTATACCAGCGGAGCAGTGGACCATGATAGGAGGGTCTGGGTCTGGCTTCGGAGATGATGGGGGGTGAAGAGGTATCCTTGTTAACGCGATCCCAAGACGAACGAAAGCGATAAGGCTAGCTCGGTCTTCATCCTCAGGAACTCCATGGTCCGCCATGCAGCATACAGCAGATGGGTGAACACCACAGCATCCTGCGGATTTGTCGAGGTGACAGGAACGATGGAGACCTTGCGCTGCACGCGCAGGCTTCATTTATTCGTTTGCTCTCTAGTAACGTCACCCTCATACAGGCGCATCGCTTGTCGGATCTGGGTTTGACAGCACTGATTGTCCAGGAGTGGACGGAAAATAGGCATGAGCTTTCTGTCGACCTCTCCATATTTTGCGTGAGCTGAACGACGGTCCGCACACGACTAGAAGAATGCATATAGGGAAAATTGAGAGATGCTGGAGGAGTAGAAATTGGTTGCACGATGGCACTGAGGAAACACATGTGCTGTGCGCGGAAGGGGTGCTTGAGTAGCAATCCATAACTTCCCGCCATACAGCTCCCGCACCCAGCTTGCATTGAAATATCTTCCCTTGCTACCTTCGGCTCCGACACTGCAGTGACTGCCCTTCAGATCGCCCACAACAACGCGCGTCCGATCATATGGTTCAATATTGGAGTACCGATTAGCGACTACATTGTCTGGAGGTGGGATATTATGACGGAGTAGTGTGCGACTGGATCGATTTTTCCAAGCACAGAAGACAATGCTTGCTGTCCTCGCGCAAGAAGTGATGTGGAATGTGGTTCTGCCACGAGAGATCGAGTCCGCATGTGATCACGAGCAATTCTCGTTCAGACAATCTGGAGCAAACAGTTTCGGAGATAACCGAGAATCATTTGCTAACTCTGGAAAGCCAAGCGGGTGTTAGTGTCCGATGTTGCAGCCATTGAAAAGGATGAAAGGTAGGCGAAACATTGAGGGATTTGATATCTTCCTGTGCGTGAGAATAACTGCCTGTACTTTCAAAGTTCAAATCGTCTTCCAAAATTGGTCTGATACAGCAGTTCGCTCATGAAGCTTTTGAGCAACGATGGATACAGTTATGTGTCGCTGATATCAACTAATCCACAGCACGTCAAGTCAGTGATTATTTCGCAGAGCAACAATTCAGTCCTCACAAATTTGGCTACCAGAGTCAGTTCCACGTTGGAAAAATCCACGGGGAAGAAAACACTTGACGGACAATAATCCGGAAACGTGCTGGACATCGCGACAGGTAACAAACAAATGTTCTTTGTTTTGAGACATCATTGAAATATTGACCTCGGATATGGGTAGGGTCCTGGGCATAATACATCTGACGTTCGAAAAGCCAGCAATACCAAGCGTATCACCATCATTTTCCAGGGCGGATTTGTTGGAACCAAATGTAGAATCGGGTCTCCGAGTCATCAGATAGGCCCGAATGGCAGACAGGACATATACCCCAGAGGATGCGAACAGACGTCAAACTTTCGACTTGATAAACCCATAGAAACGGATTGCCAGGGGAGGGAATTCAGAGCATGAAACTCGTCTTCGAGGAGAGTTCTGATCTTTATGGCAGAATCACGATCTAAGGAGTTGAAGATTGAAGGTCTCCTGCTCTAAAATGACAAAGAGTGGTTTGACCATAGCTAAAAGTTCACTAGAGCCAAGCCTGCCATGTACTTGGGTGATTCTGCGTGCGCCAGGAAATTGCGCTCTTTGAAAGCGTTCCAGTGAAAATGCAAGTTCAAGGTGAACTCACATCGGATGTATTACATACTTGTCAGTGTGTCACGTAGGAGTCGGACTTCAACAAACTCAGATTAAAGTTTCTTCCTTTTGCACCACAACAATGATTACTATCTAATATTCATTCACAATATGTTTAGACTGGTGTCATGACACTCAAAACCACGGGCAAGTTCATGCGAGTCTAAGCCTCCGGCTCAATGTTTCATCAAAACGATGTGATCTTCGGATACGCACCACGCGCCGCAAGCTGTACGGTAGATGTCGCTTCTGTGTCTGTGTTCACGAGCCGTGGTGGTGCAAATCAATGTCCGAGGCGACTATCTAATGATGAAGGAGTTCTTTGATGTTCCCTGGAGTCAATGTCATCAATAAGGGATTTTTCGCCCACCTACCTTCACCGTTTCATTCGTCCTTCCGGGCCAGACAGGTTTCCTTGCATTTAGCACTGTCTTGTCAGTCTTCACACCCCGCGTACTATGTATGCAGGTACTAAAGCAGTTGGTTGCAGGCTCTCAGTCACTAGGGTGACAAGACGCATTTGATTCATTCGACCAATGTTGCAAGACGGTGATTTCCTTCCGATAATGTAGTTTTGAAAATGGGAAAGTAAAATTACGGTCAGTTCCGTTCTTGATTAAAGGAATCAAGTTTTGCCAGAATCTATGACAGGATGTTGCGATGTGTTTAGCCAGGAAACGAAATACAAGTGAGTACTCGCAAGGAATGCACTGGGAATATTCTTATCTATGACGCTTGTCGCTTGCGTCTTTAAAATCATTCGTCAACAAGATGTTACAAGAGGTGTACATCAAGTTTTACATCGTCCATTGCAGCTAACATAGATTCGTTTTTCGTTGTTGTTGACCAGTTCACCAAATATGCTGTTTCTCTCAAAGCACCGACATGACTCACAGCGCTTATCACTCATGCGAATTGGTTTGGATCTATCTCTGTTCAACTGTCCGCGGAGCCAGAAACATAACTTGTGGTACTCTGATCAGATTATCGACCTCAGGAAAGCGCAACATCCACAGCGCATCCACAACGCACTTCTCGTCTTTGCATTGCGGATTTGCAACAAAAACAAACAAACAAAGCGTGGATGCAAAGCTGAACGCATCGAGCAAAATGACCACTGTCCCACTTAATGAATAATGGTGGTCCACAGGAAGTGTTCTTTGAAAGGGAGTTCTCCACAGTGGAAAACACAACTCGGGGACACTTTCAAAGCGGCGCGCGACAACCATATAAATATTGTTTCGGTGACCTTCATCCTCTATCCCTTACTCACCGCACCTGCTGTCACTGCGAACGCGTACACATCCTCATAACACTTCGAATAATTATCTGCTGGTTCAGGTATGTGCATCCCCAGCTTGAATACCTACCTTTTCTAATTTTATCTACTTCTTATAGATGACCCAATCCACCCCCCATGCATCCTTATCGCATAGTTCCGAGCCTTCCAATGCAGCACAATACATGCCTAACACTGGCATGCATATGGGTCAACTTCCCTGGCCCCAGCTCGCATACATTATTCATCTAGGCTGCTACTACCCTTACGGTGTGCCACCTAATGTACCGCGCGGTGCCGCTCCTCCATACGCGCCCGTCGCACCTTCGCCTGGTGCCGATACTGGAGTTGCGCATCACGCGTTCCAAACGGGACAAAATGGTTATTACCCCCCTGCAGTAGTCGATGTCACTAATGTTGGTCCATACCCACCGCTAACTGAGGCTGCTCCTTCCCCACAACAACCATCCGCGCCACCCTGTACCATCAACCATTCCTATCGAGTGCTTTTCCAGGAGCCACCATCCCTTATGCTTCACCCGCACCCCACCAAGGGTATCTCCACCAGCATCACGAGCCTAATCTCACAACGGGCTTTGCTCCCTCGTTCGTCCCTCAAGTACCAAGTTTGTCGGTCGGTCAAAAGCGCGTCGCGGAAGACCTCAAAGAACGTGACGTCAAGCGAACCAAAATAAGCTCCGACAAGATCAAGGATGACCCGTTATTTGTGAGTTTTCTTTTAATTTTGTGAGGTTGCATTCTTAATACTTGGAGCAGAAACCCGTGTTAGATGGATATGGTCAACACAATGGGACATATGTGTGTTCTAAGGATGGTATGGTCATCCGTCCCGGCAGTCACAGACATCACATCAAGACAGCGAAACATCTTGGTTACAAACTAACGCTATTCAAATGCCCTCTTTGTGAAGAAACGTGCGTGCCCCCACTCCAAGATAAGCGTGTCCCATCATTAATATTGTTGTGATTAGTTATACTCGACGTGATGCCTGCAAGAGGCATTGGGACGACAGATGTGGAAAGTTACCAGTTGACGGCGCTCAGCTGTCATACTCGACCGCTTGCCGACGTTTTATGAATTCCGCTTCTGCTTCGCCTGTGGGAGTACCCACTGCGGCATTCACGTTTAGGTTACCCACAACCGCTATGCCAACGTCCGATAGCTCACCACCGGAGACCATGCTGACAGAGACCACCGAAGACGCCCCAACCCCTGATTCTTGCGCAGCTAATGAGATACAGTATCCTGCTTTGGTGGTCCCCATGCTTCCCCCATCCGAAATACGAGAGATTACACTCGCAGAGGTCCACGGAAACCTTGCCTTTTGGAGGTGGATTAATAACATAGAGGACTTTGTGGATCCTGTCCTTCCCATCTCCGAACCTCCGTCCTCTCGGTTACCAGAGACCATGCTCGCAGAGGCCGCCGAAGACCCAGATGTCTGGAGCCTCGTTAATGAGATAGAGGACTTTGTGGATCCCGAACTTCCTCTCTGCGTTTCTCCCGCAGACGCCGCCGAAGACCCTGATTTTTGCAACTTGCCAATCAGGACCCTGTTGATATGTTCTTGGCTAAACAATTCTTACGCGAGCGCTCTACACCAACGATCTCCCTCTGAATTAGCGCCTCTCTCTTCTGCCCCCATCGACCATGAGATGTAGAATTCGTTTCATATTTCACTGCTTTACCAACTATCTACCATCCTTTTTGTGTTTTGCTCCTTACTATCGCCTGCTCACGTATAGCACCACATATTCTTTTCATACCCTCATCGACTATGAGATGTAGAGTTCATTTCACATCACACTGCTTTACCAACTATCCACTATCCTTTCTATGTTTTACTTCTTGCTGCCGCCTATTCACGTATAGCACCACACATTCTTTTCATACCCTGATCGACTATGAGATGCAGAGTTCATTTCATCTTACACCAACTATCCACTATCCTTTCTGTGTTTCGCTCCTTGCTATCGCCTATTCACGTATAGCACCTCACATTCTTTTCATACTCTACGGCATAGTGCCCTACCTCTCGTTCATTCTTGCTATTACTACTATTGTTATTGTAATTATTATCATCATCAGGGTGCAATGCATGCATTCCTTGTATATACGTGTTGCAAGATCTAAGTAACGAGCGAGCAGGTGAGGAGAAACAATTTGTGTTATGACCTCCGAAACCCCGAGTCCGTTCAAAGATCGGGACACAGTACTCACCCAGGCTTCACAAGCTCATCATCTTACTAGAGAACTTATTCAAGATTCAAATGGAGATTAGCACAAATCATTGCATGAGGCTCAACCAAACAGCATAGCGGCCTACAACGCGAGGTAAACTATTCAACACGGAGCGGACCCACATTCGCTCAACGCAATGAAGTCCCTACAGCGGAGGCCAGCTATGCAGTCATGGAGAGCGTGCTATTACCTGTGGTGGGTTCTCTTGCCTTTGGTTGTACCAGAGGCCTTGGGGGGCATGCTAGATGTGGCGAAGATCGGGAGGGAGATAGGTGGCGATACTAGGAGAGAACGAATCGGGACGGGCGCCGATACCGGGAGAGAAGGGGTTGGGATAGGTAGTGATACTGGGAGAGAAGGGGTTTGGATGGGCGGCGATACTGGTGGAGAAGGAACTACAACAAGAGCAGGCTTCCCTGAGGCGCTGGCCGAAGATGCAGGCACCAAACCGGAAGCGCTGGCCAATGAGACATGCGCCGAGCCTGAAGACGATGGTGCAGATGCTGAGGTTGTATCACGACGGTGAATGTGGCGTCCACCACCCGGGTGCACATCAGCCTGCTGATGAGCAACCGACGCGGAGGCGACAGCGGATGACGCCTGAGAAGGGGAGGCAGTGGAGTTTGCCTGACCAGTCGGCGAGGAAGAGTAAGAACTGCCGACCGCTTCTACTGCGCCCCGCGGATTTGGCAATGCTGGAATTGGTAATGCTGGCAGGGGGGGCAGGCCAGCGGTCATGTTCTGCATACTGACGATCGCGGCCTGTGCTGGTTGCACTGCCGCCACTGGGAGATCGAGTGAGCCCAGAATGGACGATATGACACCAAGCAAGGCAGTGATAAGATCGTTGCTCCTATGCACCTCCGCTAAATAAAGTGGTCAGGGGATATTTGTGAATAATGCGCAGGAGGGAGCTCACTATGGCGTGGTGGTGCATCGGGACTGGAGGCACTGATGGGTATGCCTTGGACACCCCCAGAAAGCAAGAGAGCGAGCGAGAGCGAGACAAATACGATATAGAGGGATACGAAGCGCATTGTAAGGATATTTAGTAATGTTCGTAAAAGTCGTTAAATGGAGTGCTAGAGTGGTCTGATAGATAAAAAGTAGGAAAAGATGTGGGTAAGGACCGCAAAGGCAAGGATGGATCTTTATACCTTTGCAGAACGGCGGCTGACAGAGATACACGTGAAGGTGAAACCTGTTGACGATGACGTTCGTGCAATAACTTCAGACTGAACCACGGGCTCGAACCCGAATCGTCGTCACAGATGAGGTGTCGACAGGCATAGCATGTCTCAGACACAGTTCTTTCGCAGGGAATTTTATGTCTGCCTGGAGCTGGCGAGACTTGGATTATGATTGTGAATAGGTCTGCAACGCAACCCAAATGCGCATCGACATCACGGTCATGATGCATGGATATGATCCTGAGGTGCTAATGGGTAAAAATAGTAAATGACATGTGGGTCATTATGTCCAAGACAAGCCCAAGACCTATTTGCCATGCTGCAGCTGTAGATCTGCGAGGGTGTTTTCACGGTCCTCTCCTGTAGTCCGTCATCTCCCACATATTATCCTCCCCAAGTTCTCTCCGTCTTCTCGAGCTGGCAGTGTCATTTACTGAACTAGACAAAACCATGAGGTTCCATAGGTCAGATAAAGAACGAAGCAGGGGTGTTCCCATGCATGACGACAGGAAACACCATCCTAACCCTGCGAATCTGTTTGAATCAGAACCTGAGCAAGTAAAAGACACGTAGAATTCATATAAACACACATGAGAACCACAAGAATGAAGAGCAAGGCCGTCAATGACGAATCGTAGCCCGTTTCTACCATCAGCTGGAGGTCAACAAGCTTGTTGTCGACAAACGGAACCAAATTAGTAACCTAAGCGTAAGCCAAGAACTTTCCGGCCACCGTAGACATTAATAAAATGGGTGTGCGTCACCTCTACTCTTGTACAAAATTCATCACATGCTACAGAATCACTCTAAATATGAGTTAATATCTCGAAATTTGTCTGCCAGGTGATGTGGGAACTACTATATATGGTAATTAATGCTGACAGCGTGTCTGGAATTGAGCATCCTTATGACATCGTTACTGCGGAAACTGTGCTAGATCTGTAAAATATTTTCATGTTTGTTGGCCTAATGAAATTAATGAAAACTTAAATGTGTACACATGGAGCGACCAATTTGGAAATAGCGGTGACTAGATGACACACGTTGAACTCAAACGGGTCTTGTACACAGGTCTACACAGGTCTACGCTCCTTGGCCTTTCCTACTTAACTAGAGGTTCGTACATATCCACTTACTCCTTGTCTAGCGTTGGTCTGACACAAACCTCTCAATTGGCCTGGTATTCAATTAGACAAGGGTATTTCCAACGTCACATCTTCACATCTCGCAAAAATCACTGAGCACCGAACATCATTAACCTTTCACAATGTCTAATCCCAATTCAACTTCGGTGAGCCTGAGGCAAGCACCAGATTCAGAGGTGACCATTTCATGTCCATGTGTCTCTCAACGCCTGCTCACAGCGTCATAGAACTCTAACACACAAGTATCAAGGAGAGGCGAAGATATCGAGGTGGCGCCCAAGCTCCGTGATAGTAATCTTCCCGACCCATACAGGATCCGGCTCGGTCTCAAGACAGACGACGAGCTCTCACAGCTTCGTCGTCGTCGTAGGACTGGCAAACGACTCGAAAAATTTCACAGAAAGCAGAATGACGTGAGTTTTTCTCTTATATCCTATTATTTCGATGTCGTGCTGAAGGGTAAATGGTCAGCTCATTCAATCATTGCTGAAGCCTATGGAAGAACATACACAAGAGGCGAGAGAAGATGAAGCAAATTTCCATTTCTCTGTAAGGAAGTGCTGTGGGGCTGCACATCTCTGCTAAACCAATCACGCATCCAGGTCAGGGTTGCAGTCTGGGCAAGTCTTTTTGCCAACTTCATTCTCTGCGTACTTCAGCGTATGTCTATGCAATATGTCCCTGTTGCTTTCGCTAATTATTCCATACTAGTATATGCTGCCGTGTCATCCGTCTCTTTATCCCTCATTGCCACAGGGATTGATGCTACTTTCGATTTTGGAAGTAATGTCTTCCTATACTGGACTCACAAGAAAGCACTGTCAATGGATGTTAATAAATGGCCTGTTGGTGGCTCCCGAGTTGAAACCATCGGAAATATCGTCTACGGTAATTCGTCCGTTCACTCAGCGGGACATCATCTCATTTTTTTCAGGTTCACTGTTCGTCTAGTTATAAAGTTTTTGGAGTTTGATTGACATTCTCGCAGTATGGCTTCGGTCAACTTGGTTGTTATTGTTGAATCCATCCGCGCAATCATGACTCAAGAGAAGGACAGCGGCTTTCACATCCAGGCCATCATCGCAGTCGCAGCTGCACTTGGTACATTGTCCGCACTGAGGCCCTTTGCGATCAACTAATAAACTCAATTCAAACAGCGGTCAAATTTGTCCTTTTCTTGTATTGCCTGGCCCTCCGATCAAAGTCTAGCCAAGTGCAAGTCTTATGGGAGGATCATCGAAACGATCTTTTCATCAATGGATTCGGTAGGGTGGCTCTCTGCTTCAAGCAGTTTGGTACCCTGAAGTGATCATGCTTGCCAGGTATTCTGATGTCTGCTGGAGGAAGTAGACTGCGATGGTGTTCGTGACCTCAAATCTTGCATTCTTCGTAAACTTACATGTCAAACAGGGCTGGACCCTACTGGCGCTATCCTGGTACGCTTCATTCATGCATCCCCTCCCCTTACCACTCATGATTGCTCTGACAGATTGGCGCTGGAGTGATCATTGCTTGGAGCCACACTATCTACGAACAATTTGGCTTCTTGGCCGGGAAGTCTGCGCCGCACGACTTCCTGCAGCTCATCATCTACAAAGCCATGACTTTTAGCGATGAAATTGAGAAAGTCGATACCGTACGGGCGTACCACGTAAGTGTTTATTTCCATTGCGTATGTTATATTGACTTGATTTAATGACACAGAGCGGACCTGTGCGTGACATTGATACTATCATCAGAAGTGCTTCTTTGACTGACAGTGTTAACTAGGATTACGTTGTCGAGGTGGACATCGTCATGGACGCTACCACGCCGTTGTGGAAAGCACACGATATTAGCCAGCAGCTGCAGGATAAGATTGAGGTGCTCCCGAACGTCGAGCGTGCTTTTGTGCACGTTGATCACGAGACGACTCATGCCCCTGTAAGTATGATCCGATTCCATCATCTTCAATCACTCAGTTGCTTGTACAGGAACATCGGAAGATTATGTAGGCGAAAGGCAGCTGAATGAAACAATAGATCCCATGTGGGAATGCTATCAATATCTACAAGAATGCGATGTTTTATTTACCGGATACCTTTGCCCGTTTAACAGGTGACAAGATTACGGACTGCTTGTTGCTGTACTCGTGTAATCATACTGCTCCGAGGCTCTCCCTCCTTATATAGTTTGTTTACTGATCGGACTTCAAATTGGAAGATCGACAATCTAAGTGCTAGCGCTTATCACCGTTGTCAGACAATCACTAAGCATCTGTTAGCCTACGTGCATAACACGAACTTTCAGATGAATCCGCAGGCTGCAGTGCAGTATGCCTTTCCATGTCAATTCAATCTCGATAAGATGCGTGAAAGTGAGCTTTTCTCGAGGACATCATCGTAACATATTTTATTCCCCACCCGAGTAAACAGTATAGACCCTGCATGAAAATTACCACTTAATCTGCCTGTTCAACCGGTTCAAATACGAGTTCCAGGCCATCCAGGAGCCAGAGCTTTGGCGTATCCCTGACACGCGCGCCATAAGAGTTGAGAAACTCCCGTGTCCAGCATTTGGCTGTCGCGAAATGGGGGGCACTGGAGTTTGCCAGACTGAACTAGGCGTCAACGTAACATAACCAGTGATCCTCCTGATGATTGGCCACTGTACTGGGGAGCGATCGTCACACGATCTGTCAATGAGTCAGTAATGGTCATAGGTCGTCCATCGAAGGTAACCTACGTCTATATCAACGGCTCCCGTGTCACTGGTTTGTAGTGATGGATCTAACTCTGAATAGTGTGGGAGATATTTGGCAGATTGTGACGTCGTCTTTTGCCTGGGCTGTATTGTTCTGTAACATACTACACGTGCAGCGAATATTTTGATTAAGTGAGGATTGAGGAACTGACATCCTCGGAGAAGCAATATGGTCAGTAAGGCGAGCATAGAGCCGCCAGTTGATCTGGATGGTGCCATTGACAATGAGCACGCCTGTTTGTTCAAAGTGCAATTTACCAAAGCTTCAGTGTCATTAGATAAGCACGTTGGACATGACCGGATGAATTACCCGTCTGATCGTTAGTGTTCATTACAGAACATGGAAGTAGGGTTCCAGCTTTCAAGACTGCGCAGAACTGGACAGTTCTGGTGAGCTCGCTCGTGGATGGCATCAGGGCAGGGTCCCTCAGGCAGACCAACTGAAGCAATAAGGAAGACAATCATAGGCAGGATAATACCGCCGTGTCCTTGTGGTGCTGTTGACTCCTGTGTAACTGTCCGAGTCTTGGAGTGAGATGCCGAGGCCATGCCCCAAGAAATACAAGGCTAGGAACAGCGTCTGTCATGACAGGTCCACAGAAATAGTGAAGAGCGGCAGGAGAGGTCATCGTTTAAGGAATGAGTCGGTGCTCGAGAGACAATCGTGATATCAAAGTCTCCTTGTGAATGATTGACCCCGGCGTATGACCTAGTCAAGACTCAAGAAGCACAACTCGGAAGCCGAGGATTCAGGCCCAGGACTGATGAATGACTTGGAACAAAGACCTGCAAATATAAAACTCACTGCAAGGGAGTCATTAAACGCACAGGAAATGGAGAGGAGACCATACTTATGGGTAGTGTAGTAAAAGAGCCTTTGTGGCTTTGAGCGGTTGCAGTCCAACCAGCGAGAAGATAAAATAAGGCACCAACAACTCGCAAACCCCACCCTCTCTGCAACTAACACTAGCACTGGAAATCTTCCTCTCCTTTATACCAACACTTTGATACCAAACCGACACCCACTCGATATACCAGAATCATTCACAAAGATACTTAACCATTCACTCAGCGCGTGTGCGATAAATGATGGTGAGCAGGAGAAAGATGGCGGTAGGGAGTTAGTTCATGAGACACTACCAGGATGCTAGGAATCAAGACCCAGAGGAGTTGTATGTTAAACAAGACAGAATCGGTGCGCATCAGATTCTGTTCCTCACCGCAGCCAACTGACCATCTGCGCCAGGGAAGGGATCCTTTGGAGAAGTCTACAAAGGGTGTGCTATGACGATACTAACCTGTCAACAGTCCTCCTCACACTTTTTCTAGGTATGACAAGCGAACTCAGAAGACTGTCGCCATCAAGATCATAGATCTCGAAAGCGCAGAAGATGAGATAGAGGACATTCAGCAAGAGATCCAGATCTTATCACAGCTAGACTCACCACATGTCACCAAGTTCGTACCTTCCTTGCCGCCTTGCTCTTGTCTGGATTCGACGAGGTTAACATGTAGCGTTTTTGCACGCAAGATATCATGGTTCCTTCCTCAAGGGTTCGAATCTCTGGATAGTCATGGAGTGCGCGCCTTAATTTCATTCCATTATCATTCCCTCATGGATATATAGATACTGCTCGGGCGGCTCATGTTCTGATCTGGTATGATCGCAGCTAACCCTGGTCCCTGGTAACTTGCGCTTATTTCATATTACGCAGATGAAACCCGGCGTATTTCGTGAAGAATACATCGCAATCATCGTCCGAGAGCTTCTCCGCGGACTTGACTATCTACACACAGAGGGCAAACTCCATCGGGATATCAAAGGTCATTCTATTTCACTCCTGACTCATCTAATACTTATGTCATATCATGCACAGCTGCCAACATACTGCTTTCCGCAGGAGGTGATGTCAAGCTTGCCGATTTTGGCGTGTCTGGGCAGCTTTCTGGAACGCTGTCCGCCAAGAAGAACACTTTTGTCGGCACGCCTTACTGGATGTCACCTGAGGTAATCAAGCAGAGTGGTTATGACCATAAAGCGGATATATGGAGCTTGGGTATAACTGCAATTGAGCTGGCAAAGGGAGAGCCACCCTACGCAGAGCTCCATCCAATGAAGGTAAGCGGGACTGGGCGGCTGCCAGGTTCCGAGATGTCGCTTACACCTTGCCACACAGGTGCTATTCCTGATACCCAAGAACCCCCCGCCGCAGCTGGACAGTCATTTCTCCAAACCATTTCGGGACTTTGTTGCGTATTGTTTGCAACGGGATCCCCGCGATGTTAGTCTGCTCTCCATTCCTTGTGTTCATTTCATGTTACCATAACTGAGATGGACAAATATATCACAGCGCCCGACGGCACGCGAGCTATTAAAGCACAAGTTTGTTCGTATGGCAAAGAAGACTAGTTACCTCACAGAACTAATCGAGAGGCATGAACGATGGAAGGCCGAGGGTGGAGATCGCGCGGAGGAAGAGGAACAAGTTGTTAATCAAGAATTGTGGGTCGCTCCTGCTTTCCCGACATCTTCTAATATATCTTCTCTAGACCTCCAAACACTGACCTAGAAGATCTCTGGGACTTTGGTACTGTCCGACACACAGGACGGCCGGGAACGATTGGGCGTGCACAGAACTCGATCAAGGTATCTGGTCCTCCCCTAACATGGGAAATGAACGGATCTTCTCGTGAGACGTCGTCGTCGTCATCTTCTTCCATCACAGCAAAGAAGGCATCCGGGTCATCAATAAGGTCCAAGACTGAGTTGCCGCCGTTGCCTTCATCCCCACCGCTAGTGCCAGCATCCACACCACCCGTTCGAGCACCGAGCGTGTATGAACAAGCTACCGTGAGGCACATGCCGAGTGGAGTGCCCAGCGGCGATAAACAAACAGGCCACAAGCGGGAGTCTTCTGATGAAGATTATGATGACCAATACTTGGATACTTACCCTAGAAGCGCGTCTGTTCACGAGAAACAGGATGAACCAGAGGACGACGAGTTACCTGATACCACTATGCTCGATTCTGTCATATTGCCTGCAATAGCTTCGGTGAGGGTTCCGTTCTTCTATTGAGACAGGGCTGATCAACGTGTTCAGCTGTTCCCTCGAGTATCGACACAGGAAGCGCGAGTCGCGCTGAGCACCCTGCAACGGGCATTTAGTGAGGCTGAGCGCATTATTCCGGGCGTGACTATGGAACTCGTGAACGAGATCGTAGACTCCGTAGAGCGAGTAGAGGATGATCATCAGTAGTAGGCTAATATACCACTGATACTGATATCTTGGTTTGCAGTCTTTTGTTCCTTGCTTTCGTCGCTACATTCTTAGGACACTCCCACTCCACAAGTACGAACATTTATGCCCACCCGCACAGATGCATTCACCCCCATCTTACCACACCAATCCGTGTTGTACAATCTTGCCAGCATATATATATGACTGTAGTTCTTATTAGCATGAATGAAGAGTGTGAAGTACCAAGGAATACCTTATACCGCGCTGTTGTCCTGATTGTCCTGTCGCCGATAATATAAATGATAGGGGCTCAGCCTCCTGACTCTTCACTATGCAAAATCGTCACCTATGATATCATTTCTCAGTCATCACAGACCCCACTGTACTTTATAAGCTCGCTGTCTACGGTCGTTTATACCCCAGCAGTTCTTTCCAAGACGCTGTAGTATGTCTCACGTTTATGTGCGCCGGTTTTATCTCACTATAACTCCCATCTAGACTCATCCCTTAGTATCATTTCTAACAGCATTGTCATGGCACAATCCACTCCTCGAGTTTGGTTGAGTGAGTTGGTGCATGTAACTCCTGAGTGTGCAGGTCACTGACTGGTTGTAGTTACCGGTTCTTCCTCTGGGTTCGGCAGGGCGATGACGGAAGAGGTATTGCGCAACGGTGAGATTGCCGTCGCAACTCTGCGCAAGCCCTCCGCCCTTGATGATCTCGTTGCTAAATATCCGCGCACTCAGCTCCTAGTACTCCCTTTGGACGTGACCAATGAAGCGCAGGTAAAATATGTCTTCGCACAGGTTAAGAATGCCTTTGGGCACATCGATGTTGTGTATAACAATGCGGGGCAGGTGATTTATCAAGAGTTGGAGGGGACGCCATTGGACCGTGCCAGGGCACTAATGGATGTCAATTTCTGGGGCGCCGTAACGGTGAGCTTTGAGGCGGTTAGATTCTTCAGAGAGGAGAACCCAAAGGGTTATGGGGGGATGCTCGTTCAAGTATCGAGCCTGGCAGCGACCGCAGGGGTCCCTCTGCTCGAGTTCTATAACAATACGTGAGTGGGTTGATACTGTCTGGTTAAGCGTCGCTGAGGCATTTTGGTGTTCGTAGGAAAGCAGGTAAATTGGTCGTGTTCACAATGTGACTTTGACTCACCCCTGTTAGCCTTGGATTCGTTCACCGAGGTCCTGGCACAGGAAGTGCTTCCTGCTTGGAACATTCGTGTAAGTAACTGAAGGGATGACAGTCGTTGACCGCTGAGTGGTCATATAATACAGTTCGTGAATGTCCACCCAGGTTGGACGCGCACGCCCATTTCATCAAGCGAGATACTTGAGCCTCCAGCAGTGTATGCATCAGAACCGGAAGCCACGAGCACAAAGATGCGTGCTCGGTTTGCTGCGTTCATCGGAAGCGATGCGCTGGCCGACGTTGATGTTGTAACAAAACGTATTTGGTCGGTGACGCGGATGGACGATGAAAACCTGCGCAAGGGTGTTCAGGAGGGCGTCCCAGGCCTTGTGAATGTGTATACGGGCATGGACTCGCTGGAAGGTGTACATGCAAAGATTGGGCGGCTGCACGGCGAGTTGATGTGGAATACGAAACTCCATTATGAGTACTAGTCTCGTGTACGTCTACAAAACGAAGAGTTAGTTCTGCAGAAGTTATTTGTGTAAACTCCCCAGATGAGGTTGAGATGACCTAGTGATGGACGTGATGAGATAGGGCTAGGCGACATACCTAACGCCAGTTCATGCCCAAAAGGTGATCTTAATACCATTCTCGACTACCTTGGAAAAACTGGAGTCTTTCGAGTCAGAGGTGTGGATGACCCACAGTCAGCTGAAAGTCTTCTATATCCAGTCTAAGGACGACTACTCGGATCCCGAGTTATTGTCGGCAGATATGGCCGATTGGTAAACATAGGATTATTACAGTGATGTTTCCCTGTTGTTATTGTGAAGATTAAGTAGGCGTACAGTAATAGCAATTGTGTAGAACACATGTGTGCGCTTCTGAAAAAAGGTCCGTTGACATCAAACCATGCGTTTACAGGATTCTCACGCGTCCTGTATCATCCAAAGAGATTGTCTAAAACGCGTATCCCATCCCATCCTTCCTCAATCCCCTTCATATGACTCCCACCGTCAGAGGCACCACTGGTAGGCGTGTCAAATTGAAGATGTCCTTCAGGCCTTCATCTCGGCACGAATTCTCGTACCAGCCGCGGTCGTGCTACAAGTATTCAGTTAATTAACTGCGAGGGATCAGAAAAGGTTACATAGTACTCACTCATCTCGACAATGTCGCCAGCGTGTTCCGTGTGCCATGTGGCTCAAATCAAGCTCGACACATCCCTCAGATATCACCAATGCGGTCCGAGGATTATAAGAAAATGTCTCTCGTAAAGCGGGCGGTACCCAGAATAGGAGCCGGCGATTGGGTCCTAACATCCATCCATCAGATCCCAACAAAAAGGATGTTGATCTGTGGTCATCACGAGAGGTGCCCTCAATGAGCTCAGCAGCGTTGTGCAGACTGTGTGTCGAGTTTGATGAGAAGGAAATGAAGTCGTTCACAGTATTGGTTCCTATGGTAGGGGTGGCCTTTGTTGGATGTCTGATGCAACTGGAATGCGAGGAAAATGCTGGATGATCTTTTGTGGCACGATTCTGCAATGGCTGTTCTACTGTTGCATACCAGACCCGAACAGTTTGATCCACCGAAGAAGACACTATGCGAGTCCCATCTGGCGAGAAAGAGATCGAGCAAATGGGACCAGTATGTCCCCGCAAGGCTTCACTCAGTAGGCTGCCCCGTCATTGCATCCCACAGCCGCAGAGTGCCATCCGCCGAACCAGATGCAATACGAGTCCCATCGTGCGAGAACGAAACTGACTTAACAGGACCAGCGTGCCCCAGCAAGAGCTCTCCAACAGGCTGCCCTGTGGCTACATCCCACAGCCGCACAGTTTTATCCTCAGAACCAGATGCAATTCGAGTGCCATCCGGCGAGAACGAAACTGAGTAAACCGGAGCAGTGTGCCCCCGCAAGGGCCCACCAACTGGCTTCCCCGTCACCACATCCCACAACTGCACAGTCTTATCATGCGAACCAGTCGCGATGCGAGTTCCGTCCAGCGAGAACGAGACTGAATAAACCGGAGCAGTGTGTCCCAGCAAGGGCTCGCAGACTGGTTGCCCTGTCATTGCGTTCCACAGCCGCACAGCCTTGTCGTCTGCACCAGTCACGATGCGAGTTCCGTCCAGCGAGAAAGAGACTGACCTAATCCAATCAGTGTGCCCCTTCAAGGGCTCACCAACAGGTTGGCCCGTCGCTGCATCCCATAGCCGGATACTGTAATCCACAAAACGAGTTGCGATGCGGGTCCCATGTGGTGATAACGAGATTGAGTAAACCCACCCATTGTACCCGCAGAAGGGATTACCAACAGATTTCCCTGTTGCTGCATTTAACAGCCGGATAGTATTATCTGCGGAACCAGTTGCGATACAGGTCCCATCTAGCGATAATGAGACTGAGCGAACCAAATCTGTGCGCCCCCGCAAGGGCTCACTGACTAGCTGCCCTGTTGCTGCATCCCACAATCGGACAGTATTGTCATCCGAACCGGTTGCAATGCGAGACCCGTCCGGCGAGAAAGAGATTGAACAAACAGGACCAGTATGCCCCCGCAAAGGCTCGCCCAGTGGCTGCCCCGTCACTGCATCCCACAGACGCACAGTGTCATCCATCAAACTAGACGCGATACGAGTTCCATCCGGCGAGAACGAGACCGAGTAGACCGGAGCAGTGTTTCCCCGCAAGGGCCCACCAACTGGCTGCCCCGTCGCTACATCCCACAGCCGCACAGTCTTATCGTGCGAACCAGTCACGATGCGAGTTCCGTCCGGCGAGAACGAGACTGACCTTACACAGTCACTGTGTCCCTCCAAGGGTCTACCAACTGGCTGCCCTGTTGCTGCATCCCACAGTCGGATAGTGTGGTCGTTCGAACCAGTCACTATGCGAGTTCCATTCGGCGAAAATGAGACTGAGTAAATCGAACCAGTGTGTCCCTCCAAGGGCTCACCGATTGGCTGCCCTGTTGCTGCATCCCATAGCCGAATAGTGTGATCTTCTGAACCAGTCACGATGCGAGTTCCGTTCGGCGAAAATGAAACGGAATAAACGGAACTAGTGTGTCCCTCCAAGGGCCCACCGATTGGCTGCCCTGTTACTGCATCCCATAGCCGAATAGTGTGATCTTCCGAACCAGACACGATGCAAGTCCCATCAGGCGAGAATGAGACTGACCTAACCCAGTCAGTGTGCCCGCGGAACGGCTCACCAACAGGTTGCCCCGTCGCTGCATCCCACAGCCGGACAGTCATATCATCCGAACCAGTCACGATGCGAGTTCCGTCCGGCGAAAATGAGACTGAGTTTACCGAATCGGTGTGCCCGCTGAGCACATTCTGAACAACTGGCCACTTCACATTGCGTCCAGATGTCAGATGAAGGGTATTGGAAAATTTTGCAGCAAACTTTGATATAGCGGAGTTGGTGGGTGAGAACGGCAGAGCTGATACGTATAGGTGCGGCGTGCTGTGTAGGATGACGCTTCCGAAAACTTGAATAAATCTCTGCACGTCCATGGCGGTGGATGAAACATCTTTGTACTCGTCATGGCTCTGCCGGTCGTGTGAGCGCACATATAACATTGCTTGGTAACCGTGTACTCACCTTCAGCCACTGAACGATGAGCGGCAGGGCAGTGACTGCACCACTCAGAGAATTGATGAGAGCAAGTACTTCAAGCCAGAAGAGTAGTCGCTCATGGTCGAAGAATGATTTGACTTCCTGTGCAAGCTCCACATCGAAGCCTGCTTTTCGTACATGCGCAAGCCAGAATCGACAGGAATATGACAGATGTGGGGGGATGTATCTTTGAATTCGTTCTGGAAGCTCGAGGTCTTCACGATTAGGATAATACGAAGACTTTAAATCACAGATATTGAAGGAAAGCTTATGTTGCATCACTCGAAATGATGCAAAAGCAATGTCGCGCTGCACCTTTGACACGTCGGTGAAAAAATCCCCACTGTATGATGGGTCCGTCAGAAAGTCACGAAAGGATGCGTGGAGAGGTCGGATGGGGGTAGATGAGTTGGTGGTGCCGCTGAAGAGGGATCCCATATGTTCGATTACGACCTCCACCTTGTAATGCTCGGTTTGGTCTGGAAAACGGCTTCGCATGGCATTTAGGGACTCTAAAGGGAGAGGTTCAGCTGCGCCAAGGATTTGTCCCATCACAGAACGAAACCTCGCTAGCCGTGTTTTCTGAAACTCGGCATTTGCGTATTTGTCCTGTCGCATAATCTCTGTCAATATGAAGTCATACATATCATACAACAAGTGTTCCCGTTTGGCCAGATCGCGGGACACCACATTTCTGAAGGAATCCACTGGAGAGAAGCCAGCAGGGGGTGCTTCGATAGATTCGCAAGCAAGACGTGCCCATTCGAAAAGCCCATCTGCTTTCTTAGCGAGGGCTTCAAACTCTCTGCTCCCAAAATCCGACAGTCCTTCCAACTTCTTCGACACGTACGCATAGATGTCGCCCTCCGCAGTGGCTGGTGGAATGTCATCCATGGATATCCGCTCAATATGCCGAGCACCTGCAAATGCAGCCTCTATGTCACGGAGCGGGCGAGAGGTGACAATGATTCGAAAGTTTCTTGGGAGTTCTGTGATTTGGGGAACAGCTGCGTCCTGAAGTTTACCAGCAAGAATACGGAGAAGGCCGCTTCGTGTGTTTACTGCTTTACCACTTTCGTCCAATGCGTCGATCACGATCACGAGAGGTCCCATGGTCGACTCAGGGAGCTTCCCTAGCGGTTCTATCAGAAGCTTCTGCCATTGCTGGACGATGTCCACTGTGGTCTTGAGTGCATTTGCATTCTGGACTGCGTCCGCTAATGCTCGTCTCATCTCCGGGTTACGGTCAGCGAGGTCGCGCGCGACGGTGGATAAAACCTTGTCATGACGATGGTCGGCATTTCGGTCGAAGCAGTAACAAGAACCAAGTCCCCCCACTCCGATGAACGAGCTAGCGATCGTATGAGCAATGGCTGATTTACCTGCCCCAGCAGGGCCAGATAGCCATAGTACACGCGGAACATCATCTCTACTGTCGTTGATCCATTCCATGATCTTGGAAAGAATATCTGTGCGCGTCCCTAGGTAGGCATCGCTTCCTGGTATCGAGTCCTGCGCCTGCTGCATAATTTATACCACTGAGGTTCAATTCGTCATCTGAAGAAGTATAAATGCGCATTGAATTAGAAGTACGTCCGAATCCTTACTCGTACGGTGAACGACGATGGCTACATCCCGAATGGTCCGGTCCCGAGCATTTTGCATGAGCGCATCTAGCGCGTCACCGTACCGTTGAATTGTGTCATTTGTTTCGGAAAGAACATTCTTTCTCAGTCTCTCCCCTATGATAATGGTACAGGGATCAGAATCAGCGAATTGTACAATGGATCATGGATGACTTACAAAAGCTCTTGGTTTCCGAATAATCCCTGATAAAATGGGCACATTCGAGTGTTTGCTGAGATATCTGTCCAAGGATAGTGTGCATCGACGATATCTGGCGAAGCGTCTTGTCTTCCGTCATGAAGTCGTAAACTTGACCTAACTTCTGGAGAAGGCTAACTACAACTTCATCGCGAAACGCTTGAGCAAGAACAATCTGTGCAGGTAACTACTGAGCTTGAGATGGGGATGAGAGTGAAACTAAGCATACTTTCGATGCACAAGACAGCACGCCTAGTGCCATCTTTGCATATGGATGTACCTATGAAAGCAGTATTAGTGCGGTTCCGATCGAGAGGAAGGGTTCATACATCCGCGAGTGTCCCAATAACAGAGTCAAATATCTTGAGGGGTTTGAGATATGTGGCTTCAAAATTGTCTGCTTTGTTAAGATCCGCTAGTCCATTTTGGCCTGCAGATGCTACAAGTCCCGCAGGTCCCGAACGCGTGTCCATTTGATCTACAGCATCACGGGCATTCCGAATCGCCATGTCCACCGATTGGGGGTCAGCATCTTGTTGTACAACAGAAGGGGCATCCTCAACCTGTACAAATACCGGAAGTTAGAGAGAGCGCAGAAATGAAAAGACGACCTTCCTCAATATTCGGAATTGATGACACACGTTCACGATCAATTTTCGGTAGAACATGGTCACGACCGTCGGAATCCTTCATGTTTGAGGATTTGTGTACGATCTTAGCCATGTATCAGTACAACTTAGTATCTTAACTCACGATCTTCTTGCTCAGTACACCATTCTTAACCTTCCGCAGAAACCGACAGGTTTTGTTTGGGGGTCGGGCCTGAAAAAATTGTGCATCGGACTCAGCGTTTCAAGTACAGTGGATAGGCAATCCTCATCAGTGACCTACAGAGCTTTCACCAGCTATTGCTTCGCTGTGTGTGCGGGTTTCTGGAGCTGGAACTGGCTTAGAATCCCTCCATTGATTGACGCGGTCTTTTGACATGATGAATAAAAGCTGAAGTGGAGGATCAGTCTGAGCGAAACGGTAGGTGGAGTAGGAGAATTCAGGTCCCACGTCGTTCAAATTGCAACAGGCTTACTATTGGATGACTTCCCGCAGTGTTCAGAACGTCGTTCTAAACCTAATTTAAAATCTCAAGTCTTCGTGCCGACGTGCCGCTGTCAAATGTCAGTATTTTGCAAGTCTGCATGTCAAGCTTGTCAAGGTCTAAAGTGATAGGGGAGCCCACATAGCGAAAAGGATGCTGTGAAGCAGGAGCATTCACTGCAGAAACGACTTTTTAGCCGGAGGTAAAACTAACCCTGATTATGGGTATAATCCGAGCTAATACCAACCCAAGTTGTAAAGTAGACTAAAACCTGACTTGCGAAGTTTCCGAGACTCTGAGGTGTGGGTGAAAAATAAATCTGAATCTAAATAGACGTCTCGTTACATTCGACACATGTAAGCAAACCATATTCGGGTTGGGAAGTGCGCTTGTTCCAGACCATAATTTTCTTCTCTTTATACCTTGTATCTCTACTGCAACCCACCTCAGAAAAGTGTTTATGTTCAAATTCTGACCCTTGACGTGTTCAGGTGAGCTTCTAACGGCTTTTTCACTAAGTCCCCACAAGTTACCATGAACCAAAGTCAAGTAGGCCAAATCATCAAGCTTATGGTTCTGGAGGATTTTAAAGAACTATCTCTTACCTTTGGTAGGAAGGAGGCTGGCCCTGTGGTATGTATTTTCAAGTTACAGTTTCATTGGCTCACATACCTGTCATTAGACCATTGAGATTGCAATTAAAATCTCTGACCATAACTGCCCCACCAAAGTCTCCCTCAAAAGGCCAACTTCTACTTGAGAGGATGATAGTGTCACAGAGCCTAAGAGTGAAGATCTCAACCAACAACCAGTACAGGTAAGACATCTTTAGTATGCACTGTTTGCAGGAACTAAATTAAAGTGTAAGGCACAGGCAAGCTGTTAAGAACCATGTTGCTCAAGGGGGAGAGAGACTGACTCAGAGGGGCTTGGCCTCAGCTCATATGCTGTGCCCCTTACCCAAGTATATGCCCTTCATTTCAGAGGAAGTCTAATGATGGTCCGATGAAGTCCAGAGGACTTCTGGAGGCTGGCTACTCTGCTGGAGAGTGCTAGAGGACTTCCGGAGGAGCACAGGAAATGTCTGGAGGAGTGCAGGAGAGTTCTGGAGGAATGCAGGAAGTGCTCAGGAGAGTTCCCACTGCAAGGTAATACTTCTACAGGAAACAGGATGGAAGGATAGGAGGTCTGAAGGTCCAGAGGACAGGAGGACAGGAGGACAGGATGACAGAGGACAGAAGGACAGGATGTCCGGAGGTACAAAGGACAGGAGGACAGGATGTCTGAGGGTTAGGAGGATGGAACATCCGAAGGACAGGATGCCTGGAGGTATGAGGGACAGGAGGTCCGGAGGTCTGGAAGGAATAGGGGCTATATCAGATGAAGTCCGATGTAGAAGCAAACAGAGGTAGACTACCCTAAGGTAGAGTCAGAGAGAACAGGGATTGGACCTAAGTCCAGAAAGAGGGTAAGTGCCAGAAAGGCAAAGCTCCAGCCTAGGGAATCAATCCCTAGGCCTGATGGGTAGGACAGACTTAGGTGGACCAAAGTCCAAGAGAGGATTGGGCAAGTCTAAGTTGATATTCAAACTGAGGAACTATAGGAGTATCTACAGGGGTTATATACTGGACAACATCTGAGGGGATCAGTAAGCAAAGAGCAAGGCTATGTATGAGCATGTGGAAACACATTAGTAAGTAAGATGGAACATAACTAAATGAACTTGGAGGTGAAGACTTGTACAAGGATCAATAAGCAAGATGGAAGAAGAGGTAATCAAAAGCTAGAAAGGTGGAGATGTCTAAATGGGGATAGGCGCAGGATATTGGACAGAGGGTGGGAATAGGTCCAGCATTAATATCTGGAGGTCCAGAGATCTGGGGATCTGGAAGACAAGGTGGATACAGGACTGGAATACAAGGAGGTGGATATAGTCCAGAATCCGAGATGAGGTGAAGTCTGGATGTCTTGCTGGATGGAGTGTGCATAGGGTGGATGGGACAGGGGGGTATGGATCAGGCTAACAGTGGAGATCTGATGGTCCAGAGCTCAGGGATAAATCTGGAATAGAGTTGATCCTGCTGAGGTGTGGAGCACACAGCGGAAGGGGATCTGGGAATGAGTTGGATATGAAGTGGGGTCTGGATGTAGGCTCAGAAGGCGTGGGAATATGATGGAACATGGGTCTGGATTGTGGGATATGACACAAGCTCTTCAAAGTTCAAATGTGAAATGGTTGGTGAGGGAAAGCAACCATCATCCAAGGCTTTAAACTCTCCCTCTAAGTGCCCCAGAAAAACTTTGTAGTACCCACATATCTATGGCTTTGCAAATAAACTCTTTTGAACAACTTTCTGTTACTCTTGTTGCCATGTGATCTTAGCCCTTGTCTCAATGTGTCAAACGCGCCTTTAAACATCATCCTTACCATGCCTTATGTTTGCTGTTACTGCAAGATCAACAATTGTAGCAGAACCCTGACTGCTGTCCACACTGCATGCTCTCATGGACATGCTGATTTACACCAGACCATGATTTCCTCGCAGGCCCAGTTTAAGTGAGTCAGTCAAAGGATCTTACAGAATTCTCAGCAACTTGAAGATATAGGTCCTGTGTCTTGTTGATTTGCAGTTCTTCTTCATGACCCTCCAGCACCTCTTTCCCTGCATGTCAACTTTGCTGATCCAATCTTCGAACTGGAGATACTAGACCTTGGCAATCTCATGCATGAGGATCTTCAAGAAACTAATGCTCATGAAGTCATGCCAAACTTGGGGCCCAATTTCAATACTCCTGAAGCACTTCTACAAAATGTTCCACATTTTGAGATGTATAACAGGGCCACAGCTGTGGGTGCTTGTCCACTCACTCCATACATCACGCACAACCTTCCTCCAGATCTGGAACGACGCAGGTTTGAGCAAGAGCTGGAAGATGCTATTGATGAGATATGGCAAGAACAAAGCCACCAGCAAGATGATGACACTGCCAACCCAGAGGAACCAGAGGGTGATGGTGATGTTGACATGGACTTCAACAATCCAGAGGATGAGGAAGATGACAGGAACCCCATTATAACCCAACCAGATGAAGACAATCTGGACCCATTTGTGGTGGAAGATGGATTTGTCTCAATGGACGACACAGATCTTGCCAGCATCCCACCGCACCTCCTGTCGATATATGCAGTTGTCTCCTGGTTACATCTGCAGTTTCACTTGCCAAGAATTGCTTGCAATCTTTGCGTGTGTTCTTCTTTTGATCATGCCTGGGATTGACACCCTGTTTATTACTTTGCAGTCAAGTCACCGCATACTTGGTGTTGATATTCCAACTTTTACACTCCGCAGGTTCACCACATTTGCATGAAACTTGCACAAGCTGTAAGATAGACCTTTTTCTTCCTGGTATGACAAAGTGAGGAAACCAATGCCCCATCAAAACACCCATCATCAAATACCCATATCTGCCTCTATCTGAGTAGATAAAGTCCTTGCTCAAGGTCCCAGGCCTCAAAACTGTTCTGGATGATTGGCACTGCAAATCTCGTTCTCCTGGACATTATGGTGATATATTTGATGGCACGGTTTGCCGTACAAAACTCAAAGGGCTGGATGGTAAATTATTCTTTTCTAATCTTCCTCATGAGAAGTGCGGTCCAGACAGTGAACTCCAGATTGGTGTTAACCTTGGAGTCGATTGGTATGTGTATCAATGGCCATCCGTAGTCCATCACACTTATGTATCACTTGTTCTTGTTAGGTTCTCATATATTTGCAGCAACATCGCACCATCTCACTCCTTGTGTCTAACATCGTTCTCTATATGTAACCTTCCACCAGAGTATTGGTGCATGTTCTCCAAATTCTCTATGTGTGTCACTCACAGAAACATTATAGATATTGCACATCAAACCTTATGTGCACAGGAATACTTCCTGGTCCTAAAGAGCAAAGTCCAGATCAAATCCAATGATTCCTACATCCAATGATCTCTGACCTCCTTCATCTTTGGAAATTCGGCATCAAAATTCCAATGGAGTCATGCCTACAGGGTATGTTATATCCTCATGACACTTATTTAGATTCAATGCTGCTGTTAGGTTGTGTTGTCCATGTTATTTTGGTTGTTGTCATATGTGACAAACCTGCTGCCCATAAGATGGGTGGTTTTGCATCATACTCTCACGCGAATTTTGTATGGTGTTGTGAAGAAGAAAATGGCACTAGGCGGTTAGCAACTAGCACTACTTATCCTAAGAGGTGTGAGTTTAATTGATTGGCCCAAGAGGACTGCTATTGAAGCACTTCCTTCAATTATGTGTGAGGGAAGTAAGTGAGTGAAGGAGTTATAATCTATATCGGCCTAAGAAACTTGAACGCTGGCTGTAGGTATACCTCTGAATTCCTATACCAAGGAATCAACTGGGAGCACAGGCAAAAATCAACCGATGTTAATAAAAATCAACCACTGTCCTGCATGATTTGGGAATCATGCATGGACATGACTACTAGGTAGCCCCCCTAAAAGACAAAGTCTGTTAGCTTAGGCATCAGGCTAGTCAACCCATACCTTGGTTTCAAACCTCGGTCATATAGTTCAGTTTCCCCTCTGTGATTCATGAATTTATTATATCTTGAAGAAAAGTCATTTGTGAGATGGGAATCACATAATGACCTAGTTGATATTGTGAAAAAAGAAGGTTAAGGTATTGCCTTGCCTTTGGCTTATTCAATTTGGCTAGAGAAAACCATAGAGAAAAGTTCAAAGCCTAACAAAAACCTATCTAAAAAGCCTGTGTTTTGTGTCTTGTTATTGTATTATTATTTCTGAGTTGTTTTCTCTAGTATTTCCTTGATTTATTTTTCTATTGGGATGCTCTGACCCATCAGATAACTTCACAAAATTGTACCTACAGGGTATGATGTCATAATGATGTCATATGGCTCCACAGATACTCCTGCAAGTATTCTGTTGAAAGTTATGATGTCATGATGATGTCATGATGATGTCATTTGTTCTGGAATGTTCTGCTCCACTTCTGATGTCATTGCTCCGCTTTTTTACTTACATAATATTCCCACACAAAATGTATATAAGGAGGGCCCATTCTCCCCAAAAAAATAGGATCTCCCACTTGCAATCATTTGAATCTCAGTTTGAGCTACTCACTGTGAAGATTGTTGCTTACAAAGAAAGCCCCTTTGAAGTACCAAGTGCAGGGAAAAGACATTCCCTTGAGATTACATAAGTTTCTTACAATAGAAACTTAGTTTATTTGAGACCAGCTTCTCAAACAGTTTGTGAGACCAGTTTCTCACCTAGTTTCTGATATTGACCAACACGAGCTTTGGTCAATCTGTTCATTTGTGAGACCAGCTTCTCACCTAGTTTTTCTGATATTGACCAACATGAGCTTTGGTCAATCTGTTCATTTGTGAGACCCACTTCTCACCTAGTTTACTGATATTGACCAACACAAGCTTTGGTCAATCTGATCATTTGTGAGACCAGTTTCTCACCACTTTGTGCCTATTTGACCAACCAGTCTTTGGTCAATGTATTCATATTTGAGACCGTAGTCTCTACAGAGGATTATCTTAACAAGGAACCACATTCCAGTGTCTAGACATTTTAACCTAGACAAGTTTATAAGTTGGGATATAACACAAAAGCTCCAGCTAAGTTAATCATATAGATTGGTTTAGTGAGCCTCCCAGGAACTCACACATTATCTACCACAAAAGAAGAAAAGTCGTAGACCGTGTTAATCAAGGACTGGCAAGAAGTCTTATCCTAGTGTAATTGTGGTGTCATTACATTTTACACGCATTTATATAAGACCCTCGGTTATTAAGACACCACGCTCTATGGAGCAGCTGGTCGCAAGGGATATAGTGCGAGTGAAGAACAGCACTAAACTACTGGTCATGGGTTGAGTATTCTTGCAAGAGCTTTAAGGGTAAGATCCTAGCAGTATGGACTTCAGAATGGTCGAATTGCACAGGATTGTCAAGAAAAAGCAAAATAGATGGATAGTGCAAGGTCTACAAAAATAATGCAAGAACGACTCTCCTATAGAGCTGATTCCAGGGGAAGAAAAAACCACTCAATCATATGTACTTTGGTCGTTTATATCATAGCACGTGAATGTCCAGAATGCATAGATGAGAATTGTAGCATAGTTAGCAAGCGCACGATGAGTCTATAGGTAATAAAACATCATGTGCTGCAGAACATGAGTAGTCGTGTAATAAGACCTGCAGCTTGTTTAGCAATGACATTTGGGATAAATAACACACCAGTGGAGATAGGTGGACATGGATAGGACATGGGAGGGTGGATTCCTAGGACCAGACTGGAGTAAGAGCAGATGGGTCAATATATATGGATTTAATGATCCACACTTTATCTCCTTTTCTGAAGGTGAGAAGAACTGTGCTATTGATCATTCGCGCCTAGTGCCAGTATGATTGTCACAGCATGTTGGATCTCTATTAGAGACAAAGACAAACCAGATGTGTTTGTGGATGGAGGTTCGTGATTGAATTTCTACTTGTTCATCCTTTCTATAATTCAACAGCTTTTAAACCATGGACCAATGAGGAGCAATGTCAACTTGGGGACCAGTATTGCAAGCTTACAACACCAACAACACGCAAGAATTTTGTAAGGGAGCACACCACTTGTTATACACAGTTGTCTTGTCTACCGTACTTTTCATGTTGGTTTGGTACTGAAAACAATGGTTGATAGCCACTATGTGGAGTTCCTCCAACTCAGGGGGCAACTGATTGGGCATGTGATGGTAGATCACTGTATGCAAATGGTGGGCGAGGACTGTGACCATGGTAAGGTGTCCCATTTGAGTTATTATTGAACTGATGCAGTGCATTCAGTCCAGAGTTTGGCTGTCCATGCACAAGAAATGGGTCATCATGAGGCAAGGCTCCATTGTCAATAGGTAGCGGTGACAACTGAGGTGGTCCCGCATTGTATGGCTGAGGGTATGGATTGTTTGCTGGTTGATGGCTTTCTTGACTTACTGGACCCACAGCACCACTGGGATGTCATTGGGTTCCCTGGTTGGTGAGGAACATGGCTGCTGGTTGGTGGGGGACAAATGCTTGCTCATCATTTTGCACAGATGAGCAGGATTTGGTGAGGAAAGCATTTTAGAAGCAGTCCTCATCATGTCTACCTAGAGTATAATCAGACCTGCTTTTGTTTAAATCCTGACAGAAAACAGATGTGAGGATCCTAGAATTCCGATTTGATTCTGCATCAGATTAGGCACCCAGGCAACAAACCAAGCCCTTCGAAACTCATAAATCACAATTCACGTTATGCCCTGGAATGAGTGTCTCTTGTGATCTAATTCTGATGTGACATATTTTCTTTGCAGGTTCAAGTTATTATCTGCATAAGCTTGCTAACTCCACTCTATCCCAGTCTGGCTATTTTGTCGCTTCTGCAGTGATTGAGCATTGGGATGTGGAAATAGTGGAATATCCAAATAGATCCAAATGTGGATGTTTTGGGCAGACCTACATATGGCTGTAGGAAGCTGAAGATTCAGAAGAAATATAGAGATCTAAGTGATGAGACATCAGGAAGCAAGGCATGAGTCACGGAGAATCTAAATGCTAGTGGACGCAACCCATTTGAAAAGGTGGCAGGAAAGTAATTCCTGACACCCACTTGAGGGTCTGAGAGGGTTAGAAAATGAATGCCATCATGATTTGTCTATGAATTGAGTAATTAAATATTTTACGGCGGAAATCAGTCGATGCTTCTGATAATAATTATTAAATGTGAAGGTCGTCTTTGGAACGGATTGGGAGATGATGTTACAAATCGTTTCACCTAACATGCTCGCTCGTTCCTTAGATCTTCCAGTACGTACATGCAAGGAGTGTGTGTATTACAACCAACGCATCACCAAATTACCTTGATGATGATAGCAATAGCAATAGCAATGACGATAATAACGATCATGATAGTACGAATGAATGAAGAGTAGCGTGTTATGCCATAAAGAATAGAATGTATGTAGGGGGGGGGGGATGAATGACAGCAGATAATAAAACAGAGAAAAAGTTGGCAGCAGAAGGAAAATATGGCTACATATCATCCATGTCCTGTATTTCATTAGCCTCCCAAAAATCAGCGTCGTCATTGTCTTCGGCAGGCTCCGTGACTGTGTCATTCTCTGGCGATTGAGAGAGGTAAAGTAAGGGATCAACAACAGCGGGCGTTCCACACGACTGTGTAACCCAGGTTGCTAGAGGTGTGGTCTGCACGTTCTCGGACATCGACGTGACGGGCATAGGGTATGGGTAAGAATACGTGAACGCCGTGGTAGGTACTGTCACAGGCGCGGCAGAAGTGGAACTTGTAGAGCTTTTGCAAGCGTCTGCGTATGATAGCTGAGCGCCCTCAGGTGTAAGCTTTCCACAACTGTTGTCCCAATGCCTCTTGCAGGCATCACGTCGGGCATAACTAATCACAACAATGTTAATTATGAGACACGCTTATTTCGAGAGTTGGGGTACGCACGTTTTGATACAACCAGGGCATTTGTATTTCTCTAGTTTGAAACCTAAATGCTTTTTTGTCTTGAGGTGTTTAAGATAGCCTTCAGGATGGAGTACTATTCCGTCCTTGGAACACATGAATGTCCCGTTGGATTGACCATGTTGATCTAACACAGGTTTCTGTTCCAAGGATTAAGGATGCGATCCCACAAGATGAAAAGAAAAATCACAAACAACGGGTCGTTCTTGATCCTGCTGGAGACTATTTTAGTTCGCTTGACGCCGCGTTCTTCGAGGTCTTCCGCGACGCGCTTTTTACCGACCGACAAACTTGGCGCTTGAGGGACAAATAAGGGAGCAAAGGGCGTTGGGCGCCCAGGCGCGTGATTCTGGTGGAAATATTCTTGGTGCGGTTCGGGTGGAGTGTAAGGGTTCGCGGCTCCTGGAAAAGAACTCGATGGGAAAGATTGATGGTACAGGGGGGGCGCGGATGGGTGTTGTGGGGGAGGAGCAGCCTGAGTTAGCGATGGGTATAGACCAACATAAGTGGCACCCGATACATCAGCTACTGCAGGGGGGTAATAACCATTTGGTCCTGCTTGGAATGCGTGATGCTCAATTCCAGCACCCAAATCAGGCGAAGGTGCGACGGGGGCGTATGAGGGGGCGTCACCATGCGGTGCATCAGGCTCCACATCATCAGGGTTGTAGAAGCCTGGATGAGGAATGTATGCGGGCTGGGGCCAGGAAAATTGACCCATATACATGCCAGTGTTTGGCATGTATTGTACCGCATTGGAAGAATCGGAATCATTCGACGAGGAGGGGTAGGATGTGGACTGGGTCATCTGGAGGTAAGAAGTAAATATAGTTAGGAATCGTAGGTGTTGAAGCTGGGTGTACACGTACCTGGTCTAGCAGATAATTGATTGAAATGTTGAGTGGATGTGTATGCGTTCGCAGTGGCAGTAAGTGCAGTAGGTGAGGGATAGAGGATGAAGGCCACCGAAGCAATATTTATGTGCTTGTCCAGAGTCGCTTTGAAGGTGTCCTCGAGTTGTGTTTCCACTGCAGGGACCTTCCTTTCAGAGAACATTTCCTGTGGACCACCATTATTCACTAAATGGGACAGTGGTCTTTTGGCACGATGGTGTTCAGCTTTGCATCCACGCTTGAGATGTTCATTCTTGTGGCAAGTCCGCGATGAAAAAACGAGAAGCGTGTTGTAGACGCGCTGTGGATGTTTGTACCTTCCTGAGGCTAACAATCTGCTCGGAGTATGTTTTTGGCTACGCGAGAGGTTGAATAATCGTGGATCCGTTGGAGGTCCATTCGCATGAGCGATGAGATCCATCAGATCGTGATTTATATCGGTGCTTTTGGATATACAGCCTACGCAGTGAACTGGTCAGCAACGACAACGAACAAACATACGCGAGGTGCAAAGGACGATGCAAAACTTGATGCATACTTCTTGTATCACCTTGTAAAACGTATTATTTTAGAGACGGCTCACCAGCATCCGACTCGAGAAGACTCAAGCAACAAACGTCATAGATAAGAATATTCTCAGTGCACTTTCTTGTGAGTGCTCACACTTACATTTCGTTTCCTGATTAACACATCGCGATATCCTGCCACCTTACTGAGACCCTACAACTGTTCGCATTTTAGTGTCTGTATGAAGAGCAACAAGACAATACCATTTGCAATATCTTTCTGGCCCAGAAGGACCAGTGATATAGTGAACGGTAAGGGAGCGAAAAATACCTTACCGATATCATCAACTCCAGGGAGTAGCGAAGAACTCCTTCATCGTTTAACAGTCGTATCGGGCATTGTTTTGCACCACTGCAGCTCGTAAACATAGCACGGAAGCGACATCCATATGTTCTGGCACAGCCCGAGTCCAGAAGTCTGGGTCGGATGGAGCGACAGCATGCGCAGGAAATAAAATCCGCGTGATTAATGGGCAGAAAGTGGTACCTGAGAACACGGAGGTATTTCGATATCTGCAACGTACACCGAGCGCATTGGTATAGACTTTTGAAGTGCGGCCAATCGTCAACCAGGTAATATTTCATTATTCGCAGTTCAAAGGCTTTCAATACTGGTGCTTTAACCATGGGTGAAGCTCGGTTATCATTTGGTTGTCATATGACCTCCCTATTATCCTGTCAGTGCACCTTACAGCTTGCGGTGCGCGGTACGTATCAAAAATCCCCTGCGTTATCTTTGATGAGTTGTCTCTTGACAATACTCCCATGAACTTGGCAATGGTTTTGGATAGTATGATGGAGGTTTGGATACGCATTTTAATGAATTTTAGACGGCTGTCAACGCTGGTGCAGCAGAATTTGGTGGAAGAGGAAGGTTGGAGGAAGGAAAGTTTGTTGATCTCGGATCATTAGCATCCGAATTTCGATATACTCTTGTTCGAACTGAGTTCGGTGCTTGTTCGAACGTTCAACGTTCACCTCACATCTGCAGTGCATATATACTCGGGCTTTAAATGCGCATTACTTGGCCTATACAGAACTGTTCAAGAATGTGACCAACGTGAAGCTGGTTGAATCTAGCGAGCTTTCAAATGAGGTTAAACCAGCTCTTCATCAGGATCGTCACCTTCACTTTTCAACTCATGGATTGCGATTATGCTGTAGACTCTCCTCGAAGACGAGTCTCACGCTCTGAACTTTATCCCAGCTGGCAATCTGTCTCGTGGGTGGTCAAGTCGAAAATTTGCCGCGTTCTTCCCAGTGTTCTCAATATTATCTCTACAACTGGGGCCAGTCCTACTTCCCACCGTTCATTCTCTCCTATTATCGGTGCCTGTGTTCCTTGATCTCCATTCCAGTCGTCATCATATCTGGTATGTTTGTGGCCTCTGGTACAATCAAATGCCCGAGGAGGTCCCTCACGGACCCCGCAGGAAATAACACAGCTTCCATACTGCTGCATCGTTGGCCTCCGCTGAAGGGACTTTATCGCACTGACTGTATCGTGAGTGTTGTTGTAGTTCAGCTACTAGTGTTATATTATTTTTGTTGAGCCACGCACACGTGAGATCGGCTATCTCGTTCGTATGATAGTATCAGGTATGTAGATACAATCAATACAGCATGCAAGCAGATATCAATTGAATCACAAACTTATTTCAAGTGAGCGAAGTGGGTTTGAGAGAACGGATGCTGCTGTAGTGATTTCCCTAGGTATCCACACAAAACGCGCTGGGGATGAGCGCCCAGGGCCAGTACAATATTACATCAATGTATAACTACTGTACCTTCATCCCCTGCCTTCATCTCTGGTTTCACTGTTCGTTTCTTCTTTGCTGTACTTGTTCCTTTCTTCTTTGCACGTGTGACTTTGATGGACTCTGGAGTGCTCGTGCGTAGTTCGTCATCAGGAACTTCGTATGATTGGAAAGAAGGAAGGGGAGGTGGAGGCGTCACGGTGACGTCAAAAGGATTTGGCGTTTGGCGTCGTGAGGATGGCACGGGAGTTGACGGTTGCGGTGTGATGACAACGCCCGCAGGCATCTCGCCCCCTCTTTCCACGACAAACGACGGAGGAGTAGATCGTATGGACGCGCTGCTTCTCAGCCCGGGAAGGCGGGGTTCTTCTGCGAGGGCATCAGCCATGTTCATGTGCGTGGAGAGAAATATACCTGGCAGTGGTAAGGGACCGTCTAGTCGGACAACAGGGATTGAATCGACATCCTCTGCAGGTGGCTTCTGAGATTGGTCGTCCATGATATAGTATGGATCATCCCGCATTCGTTCCAGCCGCTCGGCCTTAAGCTGCAGAATGTTAGTTAAGTCGATGCGATGCGGAGAGTGTGGTTAATGCATACCCTTTCTCGTTCAGCTTTTTCTTCAGCTGTCTCTTCTTCTTGCGGTGCAAGCTCCTCCCGGTAATGGTCCTCCTTCTGCTTCTTCTTCCCACTCTTAACCTTCATCCTGTTCGCAGACTCCTTCCCTTTCCCTTTCTTGTTCCTCCTGATCTTCCGCTCAGTCACGTCGCCATCGTCACCCTCTTCTGCAACGCGATCTTGCATTGACGGGACAATCCACATATCCAGGTCAAGCCCGTCAGGAACGGGCACACTCGCTTGCGCGATGGATGCAACAGGATTAAGTTCATGCGATGAGAAGAGTGGTTGAATAAGGTAGAGACTCTTTGGAAAACTCGGTTCTAATACGGGGTCGAAGGCGGCTGCACTCAGGTCCGAGAACCCATTTTCCTGCTTTGGTTTGTACATCGCTACGTCGCGCTTGATGAAGATAAGCAGCTGAAGAATGTTTGCAGCCTACAATAATGAATTGATTAATTTGCGAATCCCTAATCGCTGACCCTCGTCACTCACACGTTCTTGGACCTCGATCTGGGTGCTAGATGCAAATTGTTCCATCTGTTCAATCATGATATCAACGGCTTTCTTGAGGTCTTCTAGGAAGCTCTCCGTCCACTGCTTTGCCGCTTCAGAAGCCCAGTATCCAAACAGCTTTGTGGCTGATTGTATGCACACGGCGGTTATGTCAGGCCTCAGAGACGCAATCTCTGGTTGAAGTAAGTAGGGGATGAGTTCGTCCGGCGCAGAAAGCTCGCTGTGGTACGATCGTTCAGTATATCGGAAGGGAATGAATTATTAAATCGTACCCGCAGTACTCTCCGCATATCCAAGCCGCCGCCCACAGCACCTCGGAACAACTACCCTGCTCACCTGCGTGCAGCAAGAACGTATCATCAGACAGTACCTTCACCATCAACTTAACTGCATAGCTCCTAGCCGCTCTCACGCGTCCGACAACGTCTGCTAGTTGGTCGCGAATTTGCGTGCCGATGTCGACATTCGATACGTATGCGAGGTCAACGAGGACTGAGAGGTACCATTCAAAATCGATGACATTGTCATAGGTGTTTTGAGAACACATTGTCATGATCCTTTGTGACAGGACAAGGCGGTAGGCGGTGGATTGAGATGGTGCACCTGGGGACTTTGCAGGAGCAGACGGGATGATGTGTTGGGATAGGGATTGTACTGCAGACGGAATGGCGGAGGACTCGGGCTTGACAAGATGCGACAACACCTGTTGCACAATTGATTGTAGATTGTCTCGATTGACCTGCAGAATTTGTATTATACAGGAAGAAGAAGTCTCACGATGACTTACGAGTGCTGAGAGCAGATCTAGTGCACGCATACGGATGCTGATATCTTCATCATCGACACTCGAAAGGATTGTATCTTGGTGCTCTGCGACCAAATGTGGGTGTGTCGGTACAATCTTCACCATTGCAAGCAAGGCAATGTACTTCACTGTAGCTCAGTTAGTCGTACCCACTCGAAGGACAAAGTAAATCACAGACAATTCTGATCCGGATCCTCGATGAATGCTGCGAGTTTTGACACACACATCCGCGCAAGTGAGTCGCCAGTAGTTCCCTGTAGCATATTACCGATGATACATGTGTGTACACACTCGTATAGAAGGGATATCGCGGACGTCGTGGATATGAGGTCAGTGATCGGTGGTTGTAGTTTCTTCACTAGCCGCGGTTCATGAGGCGAGAGAGAACCGAACTAATAAGAGTAAGCGGGCTCGTAAACAGCAAGCGAGGTCCGTACCAACTTGACGATTTTGATGAGCATCCAGTTGTTGGACGATGTGGTTAGGAGATGGAAAAGCTGCGGGGCGAGCGGAAGGTAGTCTTGGGGGTCTCTCCGGGCAAGCTCACATAAGACATTTACAGTCGCGCAGACTACGCCTGGGTATGTGCCTTGGTTAAACAGAGAGCTTAATATGGTCTAGCTTGGGCTGACCTGGATCCGGATCTTCTAGCTTTTCCTGCAATCGGCCAATACCATGACGGAGAGCATCAGGGTACTTCTGAAACACCCTGTACATAGCAGCAACTGCTCTCTTGCGTATGTGGGGTCGGGAGTGGTTGAGCATGCCGACCAACTCAGGATTGAGGTCGCGTGCAAGGTCTGCAGTCATAATAGAAGAAACACCGTTTAGAGTAACTGCGACATCTGCAGGCGTTGAACTTAGATCCTAGATGTAATTCAATGGTGTGTTCACAGTAAAGGGCAGGACCCTTTGCCTCTCACCTTCTTGAGCAAATTGGTAGTCAACATCAACACGTCCGTGTCCTCATTGAACGACTGGACGGCACCAAGATATCCCACACTCTTGATATGAATCTTGGGGGACGACATGACCTCTACGATGTG